CAAACAGTCCCCCGGTTGGATTGTTTCCCCGGTACAATTAAATATTGGTTATCTTTATATACTATTATTATTATTATTATTATTATTATGATTATGTTATCTCATATTATTATTATTATTATGTATGTATATGATATATATTTATTTATATGAATGTTCCTTCGTTCTATTTTTCGGTAAGGATACTTCCTCGCCGGTCGTACTTTTGAGTACGTTTACGAGAGTCTAATCTCTCGGGACTCTTAAGTTGAGTGGTGGGTTTCGTGAAGCATTATTCACGGATTACGGATTTGAGATCCGGTATATATATGCTCGTGTATGTTTATATACCTTTTTCTGATGGTTGTTATGCTTATGGTTTCATTGTATGTTTTTTTTATAAAGGTGGGGGTTATACTACTTTGATTTCTTTTGAACTGAACTTGATTTTTGTCCACTCACAACTTTCTATTTTGCGCCCCCAGCCAGTAGCGACTGAGCTTTGCAGTTGAGCCGGACCGGGTGCATCTTGGAACTCGAGTCTTCGTAAAGACTCTTGGTGCTTTGTTTTTCCTTTCAGTTAAACGGTACTTTGGTTGTATTTTGAATTCCCTAGTTATGCTCTGTATCGCCCACTGAGGGTTTAATTTTGTGAGGCCGGAGGCCTTTGTTGTAAAATGTTTTGTTGCTTGTAAAGCATGCTGCCAGTTGGTTGTAATTAACTGTAAATTTTGAACATGTTGAAGTTTGGGAATGTTCAATTTACAGGGGAGACTTTGCCAAATTTTTGGTAGAAAGTCTCAGTCTTTACTAAGTAGGCCCGGCAGTAGGTTGATGTCGGTAATTAAGCGGGGTCCGTCCCGGATTCCGAGGAAATTCGGGGCGGGTCTTGTCACTATGTCACTCCTTCACCGGTCCTCATCTCAAAAGTTTCAAATTCTCTGCGGAGAGCTTGAAGATGAGACCTCTTGACCCTTGCATTTCCTTCGAATTTTTTCTTCATGGCATCCCATATATCTTTGGTAGTATCCTTCTTAAGAATGGTGTCAAGAACGGTCCGGTCGATCGCCTAGAAGAGATAGTTTCTTCACTTTCAGGTCCTTCAGCTTCAAATCATCATTCTTCTTTCGCTGTGCATTTGTCTGCACAGAGTCACTTGCTGGCTCAATATAGCCAGGCTCCACCAACCCCCAAAATTCCTTAGATCGTAGAAAATTTTCCATCAGCATGCTCCAATGGTCATAGTGACCATCAAAGCGAGGAATGGCTGGCTGTATAAAACTCCCTTCTGTAGTCATCTTCTGTGCTGCTGCAAGAACTTCAAAGACTGCTGCTTTGATTATTTATCAGGCCCAGTGGAGGCTCTGATACCAGAATGTTGGGAACTTTGACCTAAAAGAAACTAAGAACAAGAACACAACAAGCTGGATTGAATGACTTAGTTTTATTAATAATAACTTGGGCTTAAATAGCCATTCAATACACGATCTTAACAGAAACGAGAAAGCAGCCCACTTAGCGGAAATAAAGCTAAGTGGTAACAGAAACTTGGAATTCAAATACAAGTAGATGTCCCTAAATACTAGGACATTATTCTAACAGAAACGTGCAGTAAACAAACGTGCAATAAACTCCTTCAGTGGAGGCTAGAGATGTGAGGAATCAGACTGCTTTGCACACCCGGATGGCATTTGGCAGGGACAATTATCTTTGGCCAGGACAATTGTCAGACGATGTGCTCCGTTTGGAAGGCGGTGACCACGTATCGATTCTTGTAAGGCCTCGTGATGTTGATTTTGTGAGAGTGAAGAAGATAGGGTTCATCTAAAATGGGACAAAATCATGAAGGAAAATATGGATAATCCGGATCCTCATTTGTATGATTTGGAAACAAATCGGGATTTTTCAGGGGGAGTTGAAAAATAAAATATTTTCATATGTCCTTTGTGTATTGGATGGTACACTAACTACGTTGTGTACCCAAAAAATACAAAAATTTCTTGTTTGGGCTTCTGCCTTGTTCCTTCCTTTCCCGGTTTTAATGAAGTATGATTCTGAAAAAAAAATAATAATAGAGGAATTTTATTATCAAAAGACCAATATCAATTCTACCTCGTGTGAAGACTGCGTCTAATTGATATTTGAAGAAGAAAAAACAAAATTTCATATTTTGTGGTTGTATCGACAGATGGGTTATTTTGAGAATGAAAGTTTGTGTAATTAGTTTGTTTACAAAAAGAAGTGCATGTTTTGTGATTAAATTGATTCGCTCAACACATTTATGTTCAAATTATATATATACACTAAAACTGAGTTCACGAAATCACTGTTCATAACTGTGGCTTAGGAACAGTAAAATTACGGTTTTGCCCCTGCTTATGTTCTTTGTTCTTTTTTGTCCTATTTGGCAGCACAGTAAATGACCGTATTGCCCTTCACTTCTTTTTACTTTTTGTCCTATTCGCCAACAAAATTTTTTTTTTTTATTTAAAAAAAAAAATTTTAAACTTCCTATAAATTATATATTACTTATAATTATATGTATGTTTTAATTAATATATATAGAGAGAGAGAGTTTATGTCTCATGTAATTAAATATATGTTTAATCTTGGTTTGTATAAATATAACTTGGGGTTTGCTCTAGATAATTAGAATACTACAATTGTTAGGCCCCATTTAATATACTTATTTTGTAAGTGACGTTTATGTATAAAATTAATTATCTAATTAAATGTTTAAATTAAGATAGTTTAAAAGTTCAAAAAATACATGCATGCATGGAGTACAAAATGGAATAGTATTATACTCCCTATATTTGGATATAACAAACACATATGCATGTTTGTTATATTCAAATAAGTATATTTGTCAAAAACATATAGTCTTAAAGTTATATATTCTTAATTATCATGATTTATATTTTTGTTAGGTTATAATAACCACACATATTATATTCAAACAAGCATATTGGCGAAAAATACATGGTCCTAATAAAGTAATATATACTCATATAGATATGCAAATATATATATACAAAATAAACTTTTAATATATATAGGCATGTGTCTACTTCTTATGTATACACGTATGTATGTGTGCTTTATATATACACATACATTATCACCAAAAATAGATAGACACGTATCAAATAGTATATAAAACGTGTTATTAGTTTATCTTTTGTAACTAAAACTTGAGAAATTAAATGCGATGACACTATCTACATTTGCATGTATATGTATATAGAACGTAATCCTTGCATATTTTCATTACTTTATACACATTTCACACAATTTTAAAATCTGCAGCATCGCGCGGGCATCTTTTGCTAGTAAATAAGCTAATAATGGGGCGTTAGTTTGCATGGAACGTATTTAGGAACAAATTCTTCCGCATCGATTCTCTATTTGGCTGAAACACCTAATATCCCTCATTTTAAAGAGGCTAGCATCCACAATGATGCTCTCTATTTCTTAGCTAAAATTTAGCTAAAAATATAATAAAGCTATTTTAGGAGCACTCTAAAAAATTTCAACTCCAACCATACTCCCTAATTTGGAGAGTCATAAATGTTATAACTTTTTTTTGATTGGTCCATCTCTATTAAAAAATAAAATAAAAAATAGTTAGCATTAAATAAATGTTTGAAATACTCATTAAATAAAACAGCATTAAATTATAGGGAGCCACTAGGAGTTCTTTCTCTCTCCTCAGATTTAGGAGCTCCTAGAGGACTCCCTATTTTAGGAGGTGAATAGAGAGCATGGTTGGAGTTGCATTTTTACAATTCCTCCCTAAAATTTGTCTAAGGAGGTAGTTTAGGGAGCCCATTATGGATGCTCTAATAACTCTATACTTGATCGGACGGCTATTAAAGACCCCTCTTTATAAACCTCAATATTATCCTTCATTGTAGCCTCCCCCATATTTGCATTTTTGGGCCCAAGGGCTTAATCCCTTGATTTGATTCTGGCCTATTTTAAAACGGTAAACACTTGTTATGGGCAGGATTTGAAGTATGGACTTCAAAGGTTAACATGCTCTTGGATTATGAGAGACTTCAATTTCGCCTCTTCGTTAATACACTTTATTTAACAATTATGACCACCGAGTTGCTCAAAATTTTAGGGTTAAATTGATTTAATTGCACGGCTAGTGGTGACAGCCCTAGCGTAGTTCTCTAATTTCCAAATTTTTTTTTTCCTTCTGTTTTATAACTTTTCCCAATTGTCCTTGGACATAATTTCATTTCCTGGCCAAAAATAAAATTTTATTTAATATCTAAGCTAGGTAGGAATATAAACATTATCTTTCAAGTGTCAATAAAAGCTATTAATCGTGTTTCCCTTGTAATAAGAAAAGTGCTGTAAATCTTCTATGAGACTGGACTAGTATATATTGATACTCCTATTCAATGACTATGAATGACTTTTGTGCGGGACAAAGAGTTTATAAAAATTAAAAATTTAGCTCGAACGGACATCAGATTCAGCTCCAATATATGTTGACATGGTAAAGCTTTGTAAGATCCACAAATACGGCTACCATACAAACTCAGAATACCACGATCTCCTATTCAGTTGACAGCCTAAATCCGAATTGTAAATTGTGAACTATTTCCCCATCTGATTAGTTCCATTGATGAAAATAAGTTACAAAGATCACTAAATTAATTAAGATCACAGTTTTTACCAATCAGATGATATCGCGGCGGTACTTTTACGAGCATATAAAATACCAGAGAAGCAGCAAGCAAGACAGTGGCTTGAGACAGAGAAACAAATTGGAGCATTGTTCCCTATTGCTAGTTTGCATGAGACAGAAAGCCAAATTGGGATTGCAATGAACCTTTGTGAGCATCAGATACCGCAACAGCAGTTTCTGAGACATCTCTCCTCATTTCTAAAATCTTAGACTGCACATATTCTTTGTGCTTTGAGACCGAGTCAATAACAGTCATGAGTTCATAAGCGCACTTCTTCGTTTCTTCTTCAGTTTGTTTGATTGTCTCCTGCAATTTCAATTTGGAGGTCTACGAGAAAAATAAATTTATTAGGAGTTAAAGCTTGACAAATTTCCATTAACAAGTAAATTGAAACCTTAAATTTAATTGTCCAAGAAATAAGTAGCAATACCTTCAGAATCTCTTCTGCGTCTCTTTCCAAAATATCCAAGTTATGAGCCTCCATTTGAACATCGTCCATCATCTGTCTGGCTTCAATTGCACATCTGTTAGTGTAGTCATGCGTCTCTTTCTTCAACAAATTAAGTTGAGCTTCCACCTGATGGATAAATTATTCATGAATAAAATATGAAATCAAAACAAAACCCTTGCAAATACTATCTCTTTCCTCCAAACCACAGTGCAGCAATAACCAATTAGATTAACTGAGGTCATTTATCACCACAAGTTTCTAACGTCTAACCATAAAAATAAATAATTAAATAATTAAAAAACCACAAGATGCTTCAAAAGTAAGGTTGGTTTCCAAAAGTTGCCAAAGGATCAATATTTGGAAATGGTCCTCCCTTTCCTCTATAAGAGAAATACCAACTTCCAGAAACCATTCTATCCAAGCCAATATCAACAAACTGAAGGCATTGCTTTTAAATAATATATAACCAGAAATTTCTGATAGTTGCCAACAGATGCATAAAACCCAGTGCATCAGATTGCCCATAAGTACAAGAAATGTGGCTTATTCTCCTAAATAATTTGTTTTTAACGCTAGTTTATGTCACAAATGCAAATAATCATGACAGTTACAGTGATTTTTTACTTGGTTAGACATACAACAGTAATCAATCGGACTTCATTATGCTCAACTTGGTAGCAATAATTCAAGCTCAGAGCATAGCAATGCACTGGGGAGTAATATCAGTTTATAAAACTAATGTGTGACATCATAGCTGGACATAATAAGATGGAGAGATAACTTGTTCAACAAAAACAACAATCCTACGGCTAAAAACAACCGGATGCATTAGCAGAAACCCAGGGGCTAAAAAATTATCAAAAGAAAACCAGCGGACCAGGGTTCAATTCCAACCACTCAACCATTTGATCATCTTTAAATTTCATAGAACAGCCTATGTTCTAAATGTTCATCAATATATACCTAATACTTGACAGGATGAAGTCCTATACATTACTAGAAGACACAAAATAAATTTGCTAAAGTTAAGAATTTGGTGCATAAAAACTTATGTAGATAAGGGCCAAAACAATAAAACCAGAAAGAAGCATCAAGACCAGTATGCAAAACCGAACTAAAACATAATGGTAAGGCTTGACCACAGCAGTGCCACCACATTCATATTTACGTCATGCTGGGTTTGATTGAACTGAAACCAAACACACTGTTGAAACTTCTGAAACCAGATTGGTTCTGTCAAGTTCATGCTTATTGTAAACTCCTGAATCTATCTAGCCAATATGTGTCCGTGTGTACATACGTGCACACTCATACCCCTGTGAAACTGAAATGTGGAAATTATTTGTGGATTAGTTTCTTTGAGCAGTGGAGGATTTTTTCATGCAAAGAAATAACGAAAAGGTTCATCATCAGACAGAATGATGTTACTACTACGTGGTTTTATGACAAGAACAACCAGGCCATGAAAGGTTACTTCTACTTACTTTTGGTATAGTATGCACTCATGCAGTAATTGACTAAGTTTTGTACCCATGGGCACTTTACAAATAACCTAACAAGAAAACAATAATACCCTACACTAATAAAGAACTCAGCCCCTTCCTATGCGGAAAAAATTAATCTGTATAAGGATTAGTGTTGATCCACTTACTTCGTCAATATGAGATTGAAGTGTCGCTATAAAATTTCTTTTTCCCTCAATTGTAGCAGAAAGTTCACTTGACTGTTGCTGAAGGGAAATCAACTCTTCCAGTTTTTCCACAGAGCTTTTCTTTATATCATCAGAGTAAGAGTTAAGTGCTGGCTTTAATGTTAATTTGTAGTCAATCCCCATCACATCAGCTGGTGTTGATCCCTTAGCATTCAATACATACTGAAAGCCATTACCAAGTTTCAACCTGCTACCACCAAAAAGAGAACGATTGCATACAAAGATGAGTAAAATTGTCGAAATGGCACTGTCAACTATCATTAGCCAGCAAGCAATTAAAACAAATAATCAAACAAACTTAGACTGCGTCTTTTTTGGTTCATTCATAGTACCAATATAATTAAAACTTCAAGAAATAAGATCTGACACAAACAAACAAGGAAAAGAACAATAATTACTTATCTCAACTTAAAAAGCGGCTAAAACATGTGGCAATTCATGAAAACTATCTTGGATGTTTTAGTCAACCTAAAGAATATTTGTAAGGCATAGATGACCCACGAAAAGAGTAAGCAAACACCTTCAAACAAATCAATGCCCAAGGTAAAGTGCTTAATGGGTCCATGAACATCTAGATCAACTTATCATTTTCATGCATTATGCAACAAAATTTCATAAATCAATTGGCAACACTAAAATCACATGATAAGGAGGACAAACCTCCTCATAGCCTGGTTGCATTCCATAGCCAAAGTCTCAAGCTCCTTAAACTTATGGCTGAGCATGGTATCAAGATCCCAAGCCTTCTCCTCCCACGCATTCCTCGCCAGCTCGGCTTCACCTATATCCCTCTCCACAGCCTGCAATTCCCTCTTCATTCTATCCACGTCCCTGGCATTGAAGGTCTGCAATTCCACCCTCTTCTTCAACTCCTCATTCTCCTCGCAAATCCTCCGAGTGTCCGCCACTTTGGCCTCCAACTCCTTCTCTTTTGCCTCCAAAACGGCCTCCAATTTCGCGACACTCTTTGCCAGACTCCCAATCATTTCATTGAACTTGTTCACATCCTGCTCCAACACACCCCTCTCCTTCTCCAGCGCCTCCCTCTTGGAAGGCCCCGACCTCATCTCCTCCATCTTCCCCTCCAGCTCCGCCGCGGTCGCCTCCAAAACCCTAATACTCTCCTCCGCATTCTCCCTCTCCGTCTCCAACTTCTCCAAGAACTGCCGATCCAAGGCCTCCACGGAATCATCATCCCCGCTAATATAATACGAATAGCTCTCCAGCGCGTACGCAGACATGGCGTTGTTGTCGACGAAGGCGCCGGAATTGGAAGCGAGATGATCGTTGTAGAGCACAATCTGGAAGAGCCAGTGGATGACGGCGAGCAAAGTAGGCCACTGGTGGTGGTTGACGGTAGGGTTTCGGAGCACGGACTTGTTGGGCTTGAAGGGGCATTTGAGGAATTTGAGTATGACGGGGAGGTCGTCTTCGAGCTTGGGGTTAGGGTAGTCGAGGCGGGCGACGAGGAATTTTAAGGTTTCGGTGATTTCCTTGGCGGAGGGGATTGGGAATTTGAGGAAGATTTGCAGAGAGTGGGAGGCCAAGTAGGAATTGATGGAGGAGAGGGTGGCCTGCTGGAAGGAGCGGTCTTTGTAGAGGTCGAGGGCGTTGGAGGTGGGCCCCATCCCCACGGAGGAAGGACGGCTACTTGCGAAGCTGGCATCAGAGTCTCGGTGGCGGAAGTGGTCCAGCGGCGTTGCTGGCGGTGGCCGTGGGTTGAAGGACTCCTTTGGTCGCCGACCCCTTATTGAAGCTCTTCTCATTTTTCTCCTTGCTTTTGATTTGGAGCGTTTCTTTGTCTTCGTGCTTTCAATTTTGAAGTGCTTTTCCCGCTTGTGGGCAACCGTTATAATACAAAGAAATGTAGAGTCTAATCTTGGTTGGTAACTTGTTAATGCATTCGGACCAACACATCTGAAATCAATAATATACCTAAGCTAAGAATTTTTAATTTGACATACGCTTGACAAGTATGTGTGTCCTCACAAGCTCGACAAAATACATTTAATTCCAAAGTATAAATAAATTTTTAAAAAAAAGGAAAAAAAAAAGGAGGACATAAAGGATGTCTACTGAAAGATCGGGCGTTGGTTATTCAATTGTGGAATTTCATTCAATGCCACAAATAGTTTGTTTCACTTCTCCACGATGTAAGCAATTTCCAATTATATGATCAGGGTTTAAACCCCCTACCATGCATGAGTTGAGCACTTGGATCCTCGAGGAAGAAGTTAAAGATATTCAAACATCCATGGTCGAACATAAACATGCTTGGAATGAATATGGGTGCACCATCATGCTAGATGGTTGGACAGGTGGAAAGAGTTGGTGTCTTATTAACTTCCTAGTGAATAGTTCTCAAGGAACTTGGTTCTTGAAATCAGTTGATGTCTCTAATACCATGAAAAATAAAGACTTGATGTTCAAATACTTGGATGACGTCATAGAAGAAATTGGGGAAGAGAATGTGGTTCAAGTTATTACAAATAATGTTTCAAATTATAAGTGTTGATGCTAAAAAATGGATGATCATGATTAAGCCCAACTTAGAAGTGATTCCGCCTTCGGTATTGTGGTCTTTTTGGTAGAGGAGAGGAATATCTGCAAAGAGAAGGGAAAAAGCAAAAGTGAAACCTAAGGCACTAGTGTGGCACCAGTCGAAGACTCTTCGATGCTTAAGTAAGCCGAATGTAAACAGGAGAGAGTAATTGGACATAGTAAGGGTACTTGTGCCAAGTTACTATTGTTGTGAAAAATATAGTTTTCCTCTTTCCGTAAAGCCAAATACAAAATATTTATATTATAAATAACATATAAACAAATTGAAAAGCTTTGAAGGTATAATGAAATTGAAGAAAACAAAATAATAGGTAAGTAAAAGGAAAATAAATAATAAGTAAGAAGGTGAGTTTGGTACGGTGAAGCACGTCAAAGACGCTGTCCTAAAACCTTTGTAGCCTCCCTACGTGTAGGTATTGACGGTCTACAAGACTCCAAGATACGACCCCTTATACACAAATTCAAGATCCGCTATGAGCACGTTCATAGACAGATATAGGTATCCAAGTCACATAACTATTGCCCAAAATAATAATAATATAAAGTAGAGAATATATGTAAAAGTATAAAAGGAGAGAATTAGAATGTGTATGTGATATTCTGATAGTGTATTGTGGTTGTTTCAAATGTGAAGGAGGAGTAGCCTTTTATAGGCATCCAAAAACATGTAACCTTCACCAACCATAAAAGTTCACCAACCAAAAAAATGAAGGCATTCACCAACCATAAATAAAACCTGAATATTAAATATTTATAACCCCCACAATAAATAAAATAAAATAGCCAAAATAATTAAATAAATAAAACGGTTAAATTTTTAAAACCTTTTAAAATTCCAACAACTATTACCTGGTATCTTGGGGCAAGAACCCTTTCTATAGGCTTTTTGGGTGGAGCAACTTGTGTTATATTTCGATGTGGGACTTTGTGCACATGGCACGAAAGGCCGCCACATGTCCATGCAAAGAATAACTGAGCCATGGTGAGAGGGTCCGGTCAAATATGGTATAAACAATAAGAATTCATAGAAGAAACTTATGGGAAAAAGGAAGAAATTATGGTAGACTCTATTTGCCGCCCATTGTATTGATTTGATATTGGTAAAGTTTGTTTATGAGCATACATGAGTGCTTACTTTGATGAGGCATTACACTGACAACAATGAGATCATACGTCTAGCAATGACACGGTTTGCCACAAGTTTTCTCACACTTCAAAGCATTTTTAAGATTAAGTAATGTCTTATTTCTATATTTACCTCCTAAGAATGGACGAGTGAAGTGGGTTTTCTTTTTTTATGATTGTTTTTGTGTTTGGTGAATTTTGAATTATGAATTGTGAATGATCTTTGCACAAGACAATCATTGTGTTGGAATTCTATTTGAATTTAATAATATTGTAGGCTATCTTTTTATTTTTATTTTTATTTTTATTTATTTTTTAAGTTTACCTATTGTTATCGAATGATAATTAAGCATGACATCAAATGGGATCGGTACACCATGATCTCTATACTCCGTAATTTCATGTGTACACGGTAATTGGTAGGTTCGATGACTAACACAACCACATGATAAAGCATCCACCTTATCCATCTCTAATCTGTTTTAAAATAAATTATAATGTTAACTATGTAGGCCATATATGTATATGCAATAAGTAAACTGAATTTACCTTTTTGACATAATTACACTCAAAACCATTATAGAAACAAATCTACTAACTCTCTCAACTCCGGATGCTTGACCCTATGTTGAATAAAACATCGACTATTTTCAAAATATGTCTTATTCTCTGTGTGCTCCAGCTCTAACAAGGAGTGAATCTACCCACGATCTTTCGAACATAAGTTGACTCAAGCAAAGTTGATATAGTTTGTGGAAGCAAAATAAATTATAAAATTAACAATAAAAAGTGGACTAAAATACTTACCTATTTGATATCTTCGATTCAAGATGCATACAAGTGTATGTCCATGTTGCCACAAACATATCCTTAAATGGATTTAATCAACTGTCATGTATGTATTCGAGTGCCTTTTTAAATTCACTAAACTTAGACTCAATTTGTCACAAACCTCCTTCGTTTCTAAACCAACCAAAGTATTCCAATCTTCATTAAATTGCTTCTCTTGTTTGAGGGTCCTAAATAACTTCGTGCAGTTTGCAAACACTCCTTTATTAATATGTCATATACATAATAAATGTTGTGCACTTGGAAATATAGACATAATAGAATTTATGAGTGCTAACTCTCGATTGGTGACAATAACACCAAGAAGACAATTATCATCCAACAACCTCCTTAATCTAGTCAAAGCTCATGTGTAATTGTCTTCTTTCTCAGCATTGATATACACATTGGCGACAGAGAATGTCATATTAGTAGATGTCACCCCAACAATTTGCAATAGTAGGAACCATTGCTTATGAGTCTTATAGGTGCAATCCATGATAAGTACATGTGAAAATGCCCACAAAATCTCAATATTAACTTGATGTATCCAAAACAAGTCAGTTACAATATCACCAGATGTCCTATGCTACTCAATATAATTGTGTTTGGACAAATTAGTAAGCATTTGTTTCATTTGTGTTCTCCCATCAAATTCTTTGGTTCTATTTCGGATCCTAGCATTGTATATTGTCTTCATAGTTGAAATATTCATTACATCTATATCCTTCACGATGACCGAAATATCTATGGGTTTCACCAAACTCTTAGACATGTCAACGAAATTCTCCTCTTTAGAAAGTCGCCTCACAAATGAATGACCTTAAAGATACTCTGAAACAACATAGTTATGTACTATGTAAAACTTCCAATCATCCTCATCACCAATATTGACACCATTTAATAAGAATGAACATCCATATTTCTTGGTACCGGTGTCCCTTGAACACTTTTTCATATCAACATTTGCATATGACCTTATACCATTTGTCTCACTAGACTTGCAAGGCTCATATTTACTGTTGCACTGACCTCCAAAATCAGACCTTCTAATAACAATTACGATATTATTCATTTTTCCGTATGCACGAGTCCATCTAATTAATGCATCTCTAACTTTGAATACCTATACATTAAACTCATGTAACAAGGTGAAATTTGGTCATATGATACCAAACCCTGTTCCATGTTACGGTGGAAATCCACCACATCTTAAGTTACGGCCAATCAAATACAACCGAAATAGGTTCAATGTTTTAGTAGAATGCCATCGAATTTGCCTATTACATTTGGTATTGGTCTGCTGCATGTAACCAGCGACCACCATGCAACCCTAAACTTGAAAAACACCAAAAAATTAACTCACACACCCTTCGAAGCCTCCCTAACTTCAGTCTCACCCTTATAAATAAATATTATGTATGTTTCACCAATATAAGCGTATAAACCTTGTTAGGGTTGTAGGAAGATATGATGGTTTGTGAAAAAAGTCTAACTAGGGGTTGCAATAATGTATGTGTGGTGTATTGAGTAAATTTAATTTATATTTTAAATGTTGTTTTTGTCCTTAATAGTAATTATGGACAAGGATAAAATAAGTTATTCATGTTTAAAATTAGTGTGAGGATTAAAAAAACAAATTGTGAGGTTCAAATAAAATCACTCTCTCTCTCTCTCTCATGCCCCCTTTTGCAATCATAAAGACTCTTCTAGATATTTTAGATTCAATATACTCCTCGGGAACCATCTTGGACGAGTTTCGAATTATTTAGGAGCCATTAGCGATAAAAAAAATCCTTAATTTCATTTTTTCAATCACATCTTGGTATATTATTCTCTATAATTTAGGTTGAGAATTGAGGTATTTTCTTGGTAAAAAAATTATTTATTTTTCTTGAGTTTGTTAGAGCATCTCGAATCGACTAGTTAAATGACAGGTGACATAGCAAACCGTAACAATTGAAGTTGCTTGGAGATCAAATCGAGTTGTCATTGCTGGCATGGAAAAGAAGGCAACAAAGACGTCAAAATTGACAGCAACATACTGAAGCGTTATTTCTTTGTTTTGAATTTTTCATTTTCTTTGGCCCCACTTAGCTTTAATTACTGTTTATTGTCTTTGATCTGTGCCATCGGATTTTTAATTCTTCTAACCCCACCAGCTTTTATAGTTTTTTAAACCCATTAAAAAATGATAATAAAATGTTAGTAGTTTTTAACATTTCGAATGGAGTATAGAGTTATACAATATGTCAAATAGCCACGTCAACCATCAAATTCAAATGAGGAGTTTGTATTTGACATCTCTTAGTAAGTTTTTGTCTGATATTAAAATCTGGAAATTGGACGAATAATCAATCGAATACACGAAAGTTCGGAGTAGCAGAGTCATAGATAGCTCACAGGGTCATAGGCACGTGAAATTTTGATTAGGAACCAACGCCAGAACGTGGACACACATTTACCTTTACAGCACATCGGCACGTGACATCGTGACTAGCTTTAAACCACTGAAATGGAGCGTGCTCCGCAGTCTCCATAGCAGCACGTGGATGCCAAACCAAAGCAGCTGCCCCACGTCTCCTCTCTCTCTCCTCTCTCTCTCTGTGTCCAAAAAATGGTCTCAAATCCCAGAGAGAGAGAGAGAGAGAGAGAGAGAGTGGCGTAGAAATGACTCGAACTCGACGAAAAATTTGGTAATTGCTTTTGCTTCTCTTTTTTGGTTGCCCCTCCCGCCCTTTGCTCCCTCGCTTTGTCTCTCGATTTCTCCGCCTAAGCTTTCGAGTTTCTGCTCTCAAACCCTAATTTCCTTTTTCTCTCTCTCAAATCCAAATTTCTTATCCATGTGCTATTACGTCGTTGGAGTTTGAACACTTGCATATATCTGGTGCGATGCTCTTTCAATTTATCTGTTATCGAATGTTTTTTCCTTGTTCGTTTCTTGAGCTTGAGAATCTGTTTGGTTGCCGATAAATGGAAGGGAAACCACGGAAATTACAATTCAGTTGCCTAGTTTCTTCCTCTTTTCTTTTTTTTTTTTTTTTTTTTTTTTTTTAATTTAAGGTTGGAATTTTGAAATTTGAAAGTTGGGTTTATTCTTTGCTTGGAAATTGAGAAATCAAAAGTCCTCTGTTGGGGCAGCTCAGCCTGGTACGAGTACGACTTTCATTTTTAGTTTTTTTTTATAGCAAAATTTCACGATTTGGGTTTGCGTAATTTCCTTTGCTCTCTCGGCCTTCATATATGTATATAAGATTTTCACATTTTATCTCTTGGGATTTTTAATTATTCAAATTTTAATTTGAATATTAATATTGTGGATCTCTCTCATATGGATAAAGGTCAGGTGCCATGTGCTTGGGTTCCATGTATTTCCCTATTATTTGATTAATTTATTAACTGTCTTCTCGCGTGCTTCATTGATTAAACACGTTAGTCTGTATAAATCTCTGACCTGGTTTTGTTTCTCTCTTAATTGTATTTCAGATGCACTTTAGTCTCCCCAACTAACTTATCTTGGATCCAGAATTTCTCTGACTGCGACAAAGGTAAGGCTTTCGGGTTTCAGTTTGGATTAACAAGATTATATCATTAGCTGGAATGTACATTTTTCTGGGTATGATTGGCCCGTTCATGGGGAAGCCATTTTTGGGTAATTTATACTACTTTGGTATTTCATTACCTCGCCCGTCTAAGGTTCATACTGGCGTATATGCAATTGTGTGTCTCTTCTCTTTGAAGATTCAATTGAGTACTGGATAATTTGATCTCCTTCAATATTATGATCTGAGAGTTGATCTCAGGGTTCTTTCTTCTTCTTCTTGCTTTCCAAATGATTTGATTGTTGATCTCAACGTCAAGGGAAGTTATCTTTGTTTTTTTTAGGGTTATATTTATTATAGTTTCAGTTATCTTCTTGGTATCGCATTCAATTGTTACGGAGCAATTCTTTGAATTCAGACCACAAATAGGGATCTTTAGACCATAAAGCGTTTCTATAATTTGCTTGCATATACTTGGGCTGGTTGAAAGGAGTTATGTATCTTTCCAGAATTCAACTGAGACTCCAAGGCATTGCAGGAAATAAGAAGTAAAAAAAATGAGACTTCTAGACATGTGGAAGTGGGATGGGATAGGAATGTTCGGTACACAGTTGTACCTCAGTGCCAGCTATTTGCTGCGTCTCAGTATTTCATTTTCCCGAACATGGAAAATGTTACTCCATGTGGTGTATCAGATGGCTATTTATGTTTTAGATGCAACCAGTGGGGAATTGTGTTTCTAGGGTCCTGAAACCTTTGGAGTCCGCTTAAACCAGTGTATATGTATAACTTTGGTCTTGTGCATTTTGGGATGTCAAGTAAGCATATTGAGGAGGGGAGTGCCTTCTCCTACAGGCTACAACAGTTTGTTCTACTTAACGTGTTATATCTGGTTTATGGTTTAGAACTTAAGAGTGTTGATCTCCCGAGAATTACAGTTCTGTCATTAGGTGGAAAAGATTCTGTGACTTCCAATCTGTTCACTCTCTGAAATAAATTTATATAAAAAATAGACCTTAAACCATAGAGGTCTGAAATGTAAAGTATTGCAAACAAGGCCGGTGAGATATAACTCAAATTTGTAACTTACAAACATTCCAAGCAGATCCTTACATTGGCCCACAAAAAGTTTTAAAACAAACTCTTGTCAGTGTCACGCCCACTTTCATAAATTGATCATGTTAGAACCTTTTGAAGTAGTTTGCTGCAATTCCTATTCCATGTTAATCATTTCATTATCTGGTGTATTCAATTTTGGAAGGAAATGTTGTCAGATTTTAAAGTGATGCCTGATTCTGATATAACCTATGAATTCAACCAGTTTACTCACTCTCCTCTTTCTGCAATCCTTGGATTTTTTTATATTTTTTTTGGATTACTATATACTGGCTGTCAATTTTTCTTTGCCTTTATTTAAACCTTAATTGGGAATGTCTGTGGGAAGGAAATGATGCCAGATTTTGAAGTGATGCATGATTCACTAGATTGATTCCACTAATATTCAGAAGAATGTAGGATTTTTAGACCTTACTTGCAATGCTTGAAGCTTTTCACATTAGTACTTTGCAACATTTACAGCCTGTGAATTGTCTTTGGCTTTTATTTAAGCTTTACTCTTGGGATATGTCTGTTTCCCGGTCTTGCCAGATTGCAGAGTCCATATTAAGTTAAGCAGCGTAATAGTTTGCAACTAATTAAGTCAGGAGAAATTTGCAATTTGTCAAGCAAGGATGCCTCTGTTTTATATCAGGGTTGAAATGACTGTTCTGGATGGTCTAAATGGCCATAAATCAGTGCTGTCCCATCTCTTGAACTCTATGAAGGCACATGTCCCCTGAATGTGGTCAGGTAAGACGGAAGAGGGCACTTGTTTCTTTGTTTTTTTTTGACCTTCCCTTGTGAATGGATATACATCCATATCCTGTTCTCCTCCTTGTTACTTAGAAGTATACTATATTAGGAATTGGAATTTTAGAGGAAATTGCAAATATGCATTTCTGGGGTTAAGGGGGGATGTATAGTGAGAACCTTGGTCAATCCCAACTGAGATTACTTGATGAAGGAGATAGTATGAAGTACTAATTCTTAATTTTTTATTATTTTGATAAATGGGGTAGGGGAGATTCAATATTAGGACCTGTTCCAACATTGGAAAGAAAAGTACCACTAGACCAAGAGCTAGTTGGTTACCAAGAGTTTTCAGTGTCCTAAGATTCTCTCACTTGGTATCTGATGCTTTTGTTACATGCTATGAGGACTCAGGATTCCCTTTTTCTTTTAATTATTTTGGCCAACTATTGATATTTTTAAGTTTCAAAGCTTGTCAACTAACTCCATCTTCTGTATGTGCTGCTTTGTATCCATTGTGAGGCGTGTTCCTCCCCAGATAACCAGTTCTAATAATTGGTGATTCGTCTTGTGGTTTATTTTTCGGATGCAAGGTTCTGATTTCTTGTTATTCTTTGAGACTTTGATAATTGTTGCACAGAATTGGCATCTGCAGTAGTAGGATGAACTTTACTCTACCAATGTTGGTGTGGAAGTTCCTGGTGTTCTGTCTGCTGTTATACGTGTGTGTGTCTGGATTATGCTGGTTCTTATAAATTTCGCAATATGGTTTGCAGGTGAAGCCTGAAAATGGCAAAAGGTAGCAGGGGACGACGCAGGATTGCTTCCCGAAGATACAGACCAACTCCATACCCATTGCGCTCTAATCAAGATATATTGGAGGATCTGTGCCCGAAGAAATGCTCCAGAGATTTGGAGAAAAAAGACTGGGATGATGCGACATGTTCTGTGTGCATGGAGTATCCTCACAATGCCGTTCTTCTCCTATGTTCCTCACATGACAAGGGATGCCGACCCTACATGTGTGGAACTAGTTTCCGGCATTCCAACTGTCTTGGCCAGTACAAGAAAGCTTATACCAAAATGGTGTCATCTGATCATGGACAACCATTGCTGGGTTCCGATAACAATCCAATTGTGCTACCAGATTCTGAATGGCCAGCACAGAAGTGTGAAGTCTCAGAGCTTGCATGCCCCCTCTGTAGGGGAAAGGTGAAGGGATGGACTGTTCTTGAACCAGCACGAGATTATCTAAATGCAAAAAAGAGAAGCTGCATGCAAGAGAATTGCTCATTTGTCGGAAATTACAAGGAGCTTAAGAGGCATGTGAGGGCAGAACACCCCTCTGCACGGCCGCGTGAAGTGGATCCAGTACTCGAACAGAAATGGAGAAGGCTTGAACATGAGCGGGAGACGGATGATGTGATCAGCACAATACAGTCTTCCATGCCAGGGGCAATGGTTTTTGGAGATTACGTAATAGAAGGAAATAATTATGGATTTGATACGGACGAAGAGGATGGTGGTTTCGATGCGGAAGCTGGGGAAAGGAATGGAGGATTTGGGTTGGGCTTTGATGGTAATCTGGTGAATGTCTTTTTCCTATTGCATGCATTTGGGTCATCAGGGACTGGACGACTGAGGCAGCCTGAGAGGGCATTGCACCACCCATCGGACGGTAGTGCAGTTGGCATCCGGCACAGCACTCCTATTGGTGGTTCGGATTCCTCAGATCAAGATGATGAGAATGACAGTAATGGTGATAATGCTGGTGGTGGTATGTCATTGGTGAGTCGACTCCGCCGTCATGGCAGGGTGTTGTTGGGACGCTCTGGGAGGAGACGAAGGCGTAGAGAAGGAAATAGTGATCAAACATAAACTGAATCGTGGTAAGAATGGGGGGAATTTAGGAAACCTTGCGTAGGCACACAAATTTTAGGAGTGATTTGCACAAAAACAAATAAAAGAAGTTATGATTTTAACTTTCTCGCCTTTGCATTGGATTTATTTGTCATTTAGAAAGCTGGGAAAAAAGGAAAATGGAGATGATGGTTGTTCCTTTTCCCTCTGTTGTGTAATATATTTTCAAATGTAATTTTTAACTTCCCGTTTACCTTAATGTATGAATATAAATTTCCTTCTGTGTATGTGATATCTCTAACAGAACTCGGCCTCTCTCTCTCCTACCACTAATTTTTCTTTCCGTCTTTCTCTCTCTTTATAATTTGGCCAAAATAAATTAGGTTGAAGCTTTTGGTTTGGACCAATCACTGGAAGGAGCTTCATCTGATGGAAATAGATTCAGTTACCTCAAAAGCTTTGAATAAATGAATGAATGAGGTCTGCAACCTGATAGCCTTGCAACTTCCAATGCATGGGCAGTTACTCGGGGAAGAGATAAGGCGGCTAACTTTGCCCTGGAAATTTGGTGGTATTTTTGTATGAAAAAGCTTGGACACTTTTCTTCGTTTTCTTTTCTTTTTGGGTAATTACATAATGTATAAAAATGCCGTTTTTCAACTATTATTCTTTTAATTTTTTTATAAATGATTAATTTAAAAATAAGGAGACCTTCGACCAGTGTCCGAGCTTTTTGGCTGGTGGTGCGACCCCCTGGAGTTGCCCACCAGCTGCTCGACGGAAGTCCAGAGAAGGCGCGCAGCTTGACATTTTTTTTATATAAAAAAAGGCCTGGGAAAACCAAGCCCATTATTATAAATTCAAAACGAGCCCATTAAACTCACCGACAATGAAAAGAGGCAGCCAAGCGTTGGAACACTAAACCCACCGTTTCACTAACAGCAGGCTAATAACAAAACGGTGTGTATTGTTTGTTAGGGCAGCAAGACAAGCCAGACATCGTCATCTTCGCCAGGGCTCCTGCAACTCAGAAAACTCTTCGCAAGGCTAAGCTAACATATCTACCTATTTGATTTTTTGGAAAATTTTGGGCCGGTCAGCAGCCCAGCCTGCCCTCTGTGTAGAACCACCCCTTGCAGTCGCTCTTATCTCCACTCCAGCCACCCTCCTCACTCCTCACCTTCAGCCATACCCATGCCCCATTGCTGCCGCCGCTGCTAGCTTTGTAAGTTCTTCTTCTTCTTTCTCTTCTTTTAATTGAATTTTTTGTTCTCCTTTTTTTAAAATTTAAGATTTAGGGTTCTTATATGATAAAATAAAAAATAAAAAATAAAGGATTTTGACATTACAGACTTGTGTGGTGGAAATGTATGGGACGAACATTTGCTTCTATTGGTTGTGCTTTGATATTCAATGGGTGCTATTTCTGTGTATTTGTCAATTGTAATAGCTTCTGAAAAGTGAAAACTACAGAGTCTAGTAGTCATTGAAGATTCAAAGGGGCAGCGAAACTTTTAACATAATAAAGACAGTGAAGAGACTTCTTTTTATAGTTTAGTTAACAACTTTGGGCTTCCTTTTAGTGTAGGCGCATCAATGGCGGGAGGCAAAACAAAGAAAGAGAAGGCGAGGCCAGCAGGGCACACGCCTTACCAAGGAGGCATATCGTTCCACAAGTCCAAAGGACAGCACATACTCAAGAATCCGTTACTGGTGGACTCCATAGTCCAGAAGTCAGGTATCAAATCCACCGATGTCATCCTAGAGATTGGTCCTGGTACTGGTAATCTCACCAAGAAGCTTCTAGAAGTTGGTAAGAGGGTCATTGCTGTTGAGATTGACGCTCGAATGGTTCTCGAGCTGCAGAGACGATTTCAGGGCACTCCTCACTCCAACCGCTTGCAGGTACCACGTTTTTCGTGCTTCTTTCTCAAATTTTTTATTTTTTCAACCTAAATGGTTCTCGAATGGTTATTGAGTTGTTATACTCAGTTTGTAAGTTGATTCCGTTTGTATGTTGATACCGAGGATTGCTTATCCTCATGATTATCAATATAAACCATTTATATATTCTTTTTAAAATAATTGCAATTAGTGTTTCAGTGAATATGATAATTTAGAAAGTGTGAACTATTATGCCATGAAGGAATTCTCAAATTCTGTTGTATGATATGTTATGCATGATGCGATGTGTTGTTGATGATTTTCATTGAATACAAATAGAGGATTTGTTTGCTATGGCCACAGGTTATTCAAGGAGATGTGCTAAAGACTGAGCTTCCCTATTTTGATATATGCGTAGCAAATATCCCTTATCAAATCTCATCTCCCCTCACATTCAAGTTATTGAAGCACCAACCTGCTTTCAGATGTGCCATTATAATGTTCCAAAGGGAATTTGCAATGAGACTGGTTGCGCAGCCTGGTGACAAGCTCTACTGTCGTCTTACCGTCAACACGCAACTCTTGTCTCGGGTCTCCCACCTCCTCAAAGTTGGAAGGAACAACTTTCGCCCTCCGCCTAAGGTAGATTCCTCTGTCGTTCGAATTGAACCCAGGAAACCGCCTTTTGAAGTGAACCAAAAGGAGTGGGATGGCTTTTTGCGGATCTGTTTCAATAGGAAGAACAAAACGCTTGGCTCAATTTTTAGGCAGAAAAGTGTCATCAATTTACTAGAGAAGAATTACAAGACCTTGCAGGCACTTAATCTTGCACCAGCCCAACAAGGTGCCTTGGAGGATACTAATGATGTGATGGATTTTTCAGATGAGGACATAGAGATGGATGATGATGGAGTGGATGATGGAATGGAAGTGGAGGATGGTAATGCAGAAGGGGAGGTATCCGAATTCAAAAAAAAGGTTTTGAGCGTGTTGAAGAAGGCTGGTTTCGAAGGGGAGAGGTCCTCCAAGCTCAAATTACAGCAATTCTTGGACCTGCTTTCCGAGTTCAACAAGGATGGTATACACTTCTCCTAAATTGGGACCCAAATGTTTTGTCTGTTAAGATTATACCCAACCCAATTTTGTTAGGTTTCAAGTCTTTCTCTTGTTTTATTTATTTTGGTTTTTAATGTTTTATAAGAGAGTACGATTGCATAATTTAGTTAGGCATGTGGATGGTTTTCCAATTCCCCTTTTCTAATGCATCTCTATCTCCATCTCTATTATTATAAGGACAGTTACTCCTCTTTGTGTTGAGATTTTATTTGAAGTTTGTTGCCCTATTTTGTTGAGAGTTCGACGGAAAGGAGATAAAATCAAGAAAATGGGGGGTTTTTTTCGTTTCTTATTGCTTTAGGAACCTGGTGAAACAAAATCCTAAGGTCATTTTCTGAAATGCTAATGTCGTAGCATCCAACAGTCACCGTCTATAGCTACAGGAGCCAAGAGTTTGTAACATCATAATCAAGTCATTATGGTAACCACCTCCATTCTCAACCATTTTAGAAATATGCTCATCTTAGAGGTAACCTCAGAATGTTGCTGCTGGAGAAGATGTTTGTAAGGATTGTTTTTGTTGTATTGTTTGGCTCTTCTCTTTTTTTAACAAAACCGTTGTAATCTCCTTAGAAATTTAAGATAGCTTCTAGGGTACATTAAGTGGTTACTGGTTTCCAAAGATCTCTGTGTTGAAACACAAGTAAGTTCATTTGCACGGATTCACATGGGTTGATACACAGGATTGATACAAGCTGAAACATAGGAAATTTGGTGGTATTTTTATTTTCGTTTGAAAAAGCTTGGGACAATTTTTTCTTTCTGTTTTTTTTTGGGGGGGTAATTATAATGTATAAAAATGCCGTCCCATTTTTTCAACTATTATTCTATTAATTTTTTTAAATTGATTAATTCAAAAATAAGGGGACCTTCCATTCCACACATACATTGCATTTGTGATGTACTTATTTTAATAAGAAACAAAATTAACCAACAGCCTATTTCAATGGACTTATAAAGACTATTGGTTTCACATTTGAATTGCATTTTGATAGTATGTGAGAAACTTTTCGTCTTGTAATTTAAACTATCGCTTCACGCTTGTACTAAAAACAAAACCAAAAACGAAGCAAGCCTCTTTGTTAAATTCCATGGAGACTAGGTTGAATTTATCCAAGGTGTTAAGTTTCTTATACATGCCTGATGCATTTTGTAAGATTGAATAACGACACAACAGTAAGAAGCGAAAAAATTCACAAAAGAATCACTTATTACTAGTGACAGGCATAGGAAGGAAGAAGTAAGAGAGAGATGGACTCATATTTCTACTGAAACAACTTGAATATACATATGCTACGGGAAAGTGATTTTGATCATAAAAGTAACATTCACTTAGAGGTGCTTGCTGGTCGTGCGACCCATGGAGTTGCCCACCAGCTGCTCGACGGAAGTCCAGAGAAGAACAAGCGCAGCTTTTTTTTTTGTCTTAAAAAATAATAATAATAAACAGCCTACCAAAACGACATCGTTTTTATTAAAATGACCTGTCTAAAACCACGCCGTTTTGGGCCAGGACTTAAAAAAATAAAAAAGTAGTTTCAGCTTCAGCATATTCAAAACCCTTCCAAAACCCCAATTCTGCAAATTGAGAGATTGGAGAAAGTTCCTTCGGACAGAGATTTCGAGTATCGGAACGAATCCACTATTTGCAGGTTTCTCTGTTTTTTCTTTCAGTTTCTTTTTCCTCTGCAAGTCTGCTTCGTTTTCTCTGGTAATGGATTGTAAATTTGATGGATCAAGGACTCCTAAATTTACTACTGGATCCACTACTGTGCATTGGGGAATTTTCCTCTATGAATACTTGTCTGGCTTTGTTATATGAGAAATGATAATTTATGGCTGATTATGTTCTTGGTGTTCTGTGTGTGTGTTTGTGTTGACCTTTTAAGAGATTAAGTGAAAAGTGAACAATGAACAAGGATAAGATATTCAAGTTAGCCAAGGGCTTCAGGGGAAGGGCCAAGAATTGCATAAGGATTGCCAGAGAGAGGGTGGAGAAGGCCTTGCAGTATTCCTACCGGGATCGCCGCACCAAGAAGCGAGACATGCGCTCCCTGTGGATCCAACGCATCAATGCTGGCACCCGCATCCATGGTGTATGTGTCGAATTGTGTCTATTATCTCATATGTGGTTTGGGAGAATTATAGCAGTCTCGCTTTCAATTGGTTTTGGACTTCAATCTAAGTTATCGTTTTCCTGCCACTGTTGTTTGCTATGTTTATATAGTTATCTTTATCCAGTTGAGTTATTCCTGAGTTCCTTTCTATATTGCCTACAACTTGGATGGAAAAGACTGAGAGAGAAAAATACATGTGAAGAAAGTGGATGATGAGTATTGATTTGCTTAAAGATTGTTATCTTGAGCAATAGGTAGCCAATCTTTGTGTATATAGGTGGTGGGGGCCATCCTATTGATATCTCAGTGAGTCTATGACTCTGGTAATGTGGTCCTGTGTCACCATAAGCCTCAACATCAGTAGGGCATGTAGGTATGCTGATGTGGATTTTCTTTAAACAAAATGGGAAAGGACTTGTGTCAGGTCATTTTGGTTGGGGATAATTTCAAGAGACCTTTATTCCCAGCTTGCCCATTTTCAGTCTGAGGTTGAATATCTTGGCTAGCTGTCCCTCTGGCATTCCTTTCAGTCTGAGGTTGCGTTGGAGTCATATATTGTTGAAAATCATGATTATTGAAAATTAAGGACTTAGGTTTTTCAATATGCTGCAGAACAATGAACTTTATATCAGTTTTTGTTGGTTTTAGGAGTTAAAGATGAAAAAACGAGAGACTATTTTTTATGCTAATGTATACATTTTCCTCATAGAATAGTAAGAGAAGCATGGGCCATCTATGCATGGTCATCCTACCTGGGGTAGGGTCTTTTTTGTTAAGTTTTTTTGCCTTTTTTGTCTAGAGGTTGCTTAAGCATAGAAGATCAAGAGGATTGTTGTTTCTCCAATATTGGTTAACATGGAGAGTAAATGTCTAAGAACTTGGTTAGTGAAAAGTACCTGGAGAAAAGTAAAACTAATAGCATGCGAAATTAAGGGTCCTCATTGGAATTGGTTACAAAGATTGTTAGCATGTAAATCCTGTCTGTGGTCTTAAGAACTTTGCTCAATGTTTTCAAATTAACTTCAAGTTTTTAGTTTTGGTTCTCATTGGAATTCTTGGAATTGGTTACAAAGGTTGTTAGCATGTAAATCCTGCCTGTGGTCTTAAGAACTTTGCTTAATGTTTTCAAATTGACTTCAAGTTTTTAGTTTTGACTTGAATATTCTCTCTACTAAACTAGATCCAAATTATATTTTTATGGTTGGCTTTGGAAAGTCTAGGAAGTTGGGGAAAGCTGCAGCAGTTTAGATTAAGATGTAAGGAATCGTATGTATCTTTCTGGACCTTCTGGCCTGAAAGAAGCTGTTGAGCTGTTGGATGGGTAGAAGCTGGAACATATTGCTGATTCGATGATCTTAAGCTATTTGAGTGGTTTTTTGCGATTTCCTGTATAATATTTGTTTTCTAGTGTATTCTGATCTCCCTTTTATTTGGGTTTTACTGTTGTCATCAGGTTAATTATGGGAATTTCATGCATGGGTTGATGAAGGAGAACATTCAGCTGAACAGGAAAGTTTTGTCGGAGCTGTCCATGCACGAACCATACAGTTTCAAGGCCCTAGTAGACATCTCTCGCACTGCCTTCCCTGGGAACAAGAACGTGGTTCATGCTCCCAAAAAGGAAGGCCTTTCAATGCTTGTGTAATTGGCCATTTAGTTAAATCCATCTTTGCTTAATATTTTTGTGCTTGTATGGAACAGAACTTTCTGAGTCTCTTGTTTTGGTCTTTTTGTCCTTTAGATTTTGATCAAGATTATTGCTTGTTAATGCAAATTTTAGTGAACCTGCAAGCATTTCTCTTTACTTCCTTCCCCCACCTCCTTATCTGCACTGAGTCCACTCCATTCGGATGGTTGTGTATGGCGTAGACGTTCGTTCATATCATGATCGCGGTTCCATACATATGTATTGTGGGAAAAGATAATGAAGTATCTAGAGGAATCATAATAACCCAGTAGGCTGATAAACACATATTATTTTGAATATATGATGCGTAGATTTTGGGTTGGGTATGTTTGAAAACGGGTATTATAAACTCGTACCCCCCAAACATCATAATTTGTGCAATGAGGCCTTGGCTTATCAGTTAATCATTGACTGTCACGTGAAAAAGTTATCATGTGTGGCATCGCATGATTGATCAAGGATAGCAAAACAGTGTTATCTTCGTTTCACACTAGCGTTTCTTCTTAGCTATTGCTTTTGACTTTGAGGTTCTTTAGTTTTATTTGCCATCATGGCCTTTAATGAAGTATTCTCAAGAGTTGAATAAGCACTAACTTTGTCTCAAAGAAACACAATTGAATACAAATACACTTTACATCTCGTTTTTATCATGTGAACTGGCAATACAAAGAAATACAAGTTGCAAATTGGAGGGAAAATGATGAGAATATGAGATGGCCTATTTTATTACTCATTTAATAATTCTATTAATGGGTCAAGGGATACTATCTATTCACCTAAGTTTAGTCCTTCGTGACATATACAACTAAACACAATTATAGAAAGACTTTCTACATCCATTTACTATTGTACAACTCCCAAAAAGAGAATCTCAACCCGAAATACAAAGAATCAGATCAGAACTTGGTAGGATTGTCTTTTGGATCTTCCTCCAAATTGAGATTTTTCTTCAAAATTACAAAAAAAAACTCATAGTTCAACACATGTATATAAACTTATCTTTTGTTTTTAATGAGTAACTTTAGTGCCAACAAGGTCTAGTTCAATTAAAAGGGTCTTAATTTGCAGACCATTGATCTCAGATTACGGATATAAATTCCACAAGATCTATGAAATGCCTTTTGATTGTCATGTATTTATTAGGCCATTAACTGCTTAATGGGATAAGAAATCATGACTAACATGATATTCGCCACTTATTCGGTGATTGATTTGATCTTCTAATTATTCATATGATTGAATTGAACTTCTAATTATCCATATTAGATCTTGCAAGACTCACAGGGCCAACATGTCAAGTGTCCAGTATTTGTGTTCTCCACTACTAACTTATGTAAAAGGTGTCGTACACTCTTAATCAATGCGTGATGAGGAGCTTGTTATTAGTTTCCCGAGTATCAGCTCGCGGATAAATTTATTTTTACACTCTACAATTGTACACGTGTAACATTTTCTTACTGGGCGTAAAATCTATGCTACCACTTATTTAATTCTTTTGGGTCCCCACCCGAATTCTGAGACGAAGGGGGAAAAGCCTAGATATAGACTGTACTGTAGCCCATCCAGCCAATCACACCGAGCCCACATGGCCTTAACAGCTCAGACCAAACAACACAATAAAAGATAGAAAGTCTACCCCAAAACAGCACGGACATCCCTCCCTACCATTTGCAGCCGCTCCGATCTCCACTCCAGCCACCCTCCTCACTCCTCACTCCTCACCTTCAGCCACACGCATGCCGCATTGCTGCCGCTGCTGCTGCTGCTAGCTTTGTAAGTTCTTCTTCTTCTTTCTTTATCTTTTTCATCTAAACAATTCTTCGAAATTCTTCCTTTTTTCTTCTCTTCTTCTTCTTCTAAACATTTCTCTCACATTCTTCCTATCTTCTTCTTCTTCTTCTTCTTCTTCTGAACTCTTCATTTCTTATGTTCTTGTTCTTTTAATCCTTCATTTCCATTATTTTTCTTCTTTTAATTGAATTTTTATTCTGCTTGTTTCTAATTTAAGATTTAGGGTTCTTATATAATAATAATAAATTAGGGATTTAGGGATTTTGGCATTACAGACTTGTGGGGTGGAAAATGGGAATAACACTTGCTTCTATTGCTTGTGCTTTGATATTCAATAGCAAGGAACTGGATTTTGAAGTTTTTGAACTTGATCATTGACTGACTGCTATTTCTGTGTATTTGAAAAGTGAAAAATATAGAGACGAGTAGTCATTGAAGATTCAAATGGACAGCGAAACTATTAACATAAGAAGGGACAGTGCAGGGACTTCTTTTATAGTTTAGTTAAGAACTTTGAACTTCCTTTTAGTGTGTACATGAATAGCTTTCTCAGTGCAAAGGCTGTTAATTTACTCATGTGTTTTCTTATAATAAAAAAGTGGCCACCAAGAAATGAAAGAATCTCATGGGTGTGATTAACGGGTTCTGTAAAATTGGAGAAAAACAAAGGAGGCTCTGTCGAAGTTTCAATTGAGGAAAATTGGCTTAAAACTTCGGCCCAACCCACTTTTAAATCCTGGGTCCATGCCTTCCTCAAAGTAGTCGTCGATCTTCTAACTTCGCTTTCTTGTATCTTGGAAGCCCCTGTACACCAAATGTGTAGGCTTTTTGGGATATATCTTTCTATGTTTGAAAAGAATTTGCAAGTTCGTTACTTGATTGTTTTGTATGTTGTTATGATGTCCAATTCAAACAAGTTGTTTACTTATCCTTTTCTGCTGCAGATTCCACCAACATATCTAAGCGTTTGATTTGTAATAGTTGTGAAGCTGCTGCTTTGCTCTTCTGAACCATTTCTAACTGAAACGTTAGCTGTTAAAAGTCAGCTCATCTAAAGACAGCACACATAATTGCTGCAGTTGATGACACTGTCGGAGTCGATTCTTCTAAAGAAAATTGAAAATTTTGGCTCATCTGAAGGCAATTTTGGCAATGTTAAGTACTTATTAATGTCACTAAGGGTGAAGTATGACGACAATGAAATTTCCAAAGCGTTACTTAGTCGTCATATTGACCTTCATCAGCACATCCGTTTGCTATATAGAACGTGTCGGGTTTTCAATTGCATACACTGTTGCCGCTGATGCTGCTGGGGTAAATCAATCAAGTAAAGGCACAATTCTTTCTACATTCTATTATGGCTATGCTTGTTCACAAGTGCCTGGTGGCTGGGCAGCTCAGAAAATCGGGGGAAGGAAGGTTCTTCTCCTTTCATTTGTGTTATGGTCATCGACTTGTGCATTGATTCCTTTGGACCCCAATCGAGTCTTTGTCATGGTGATTGCTAGATTGCTTGTTGGTGTTGCACAAGGTTTCATCTTCCCCTCAATCCACACAGTTCTAGCACAGTGGGTTCCACCACACGAAAGATCCAGATCTGTTTCTCTTACAACTTCTGGTATGTACCTTGGTGCTGCGGCAGGAATGCTTTTCCTTCCAAGCCTTGTAAAGTATAAAGGCCCCCAATCCGTCTTTCTTGCTGAGGCAGCACTAGGAGCCATGTGGTCTTTGCTTTGGTTTAAGTATGCCAGTGACCCACCTCGCTCTGAACATCCAAAAGCCACAGCTGCTGGTTTCGGGGAATCAATGCTGCCAATCAAAGGAAGTCAAAAGTTGAAACTAGAAAATGGAGGAAGTTCTGTCAGAACTGCCAAAATTCCATGGAAGAAAATTTTACTCAGTTTGCCAGTCTGGGCAATTGTGGTTAATAATTTCACGTTCCATTATGCTTTATATGTGTTAATGAACTGGCTGCCGACTTACTTTGAATTGGGCCTCCAGCTTAGCCTTCAGGAAATGGGTTCTTCTAAGATGTTGCCGTATCTCAACATGTTTATTTTCTCAAATATAGGTGGGGTGGTTGCTGATCACTTGGTCACCAAGAGAATCTTGTCTGTGACTAGAACCCGGAAGCTCTTGAACACCATCGGGTTCATAGTTGCTTCTCTTGCATTGATGGCAATTCCCATATTCAGAACATCTGGTGGGGCTGTTCTCTGCTCTTCTGTGGCTCTCGGTTTCTTGGCACTTGGGAGAGCTGGTTTTGCAGTGAATCACATGGATATTGCCCCGAGATATGCAGGCATTGTGATGGGAGTTTCTAACACTGCTGGTACGTTAGCTGGCATTATTGGAGTTGATCTGACCGGCAAACTTCTTGAAGCTGCAAGAACTGTTGATTCAAGTCTTTCAAGTGCAGAGAGCTGGAGAGTGGTGTTTTTCATCCCGGGTTTGCTTTGCATTTTTAGTTCTTTAGTATTTTTACTATTCTCAACAGGGGAGAGAATTTTTGACTGAGATAGGCTTTTGCATGCGAACCTCTCGAAGCTCCTCAATCGTTGTTCGGATTCTTCATTTATAATTGTTTGTGCAATGAGGCTGCTGATGTAGTAGTGTAGCATATAATTGTTGCCTTGGGAAAACATATGAACTTAAAAGCGCCCATAAAAGATTGGTATCTAGAAATAGCAGGTCATATGTGGGGATTACAATGCATGCTTAATAAGCTCTCTGATTGCTTCCAGCATATAATTCTTGTGTATGAAGGATAGATGAAATTAATAAGCTCATAAACAATCTGAAATGGTCATCCTAGACCTGCAAATTATCGATTTTTATAATGTATTTGTTAAATTTGATTCCATCCCCATACCAGGTTTCATCTGGTTAATGGAAATGTTGTTTGTTTGTGGAATATCCAGTTGTAATTGACAGACAATTGATACAATAAAAGAATTAGTGATGGTTCTATAAACTTGTGCAACTCTGTATGATGTCCTGGGTTAGGCTTCCTTTGATTTCTTTTTTATATTTCGGATCGAACTTGAGGCCTCTTCCAACAAAGTGCATATCCCATTCTACAAGATTATGCTACATTGAGTAGGTTTCTCTGGAGTTTCGTCCTAGTTGTAACTTTTGGTGATAATTTCGTTTGTCATTTTTAGCTTTCATTTTTTCGTTAGAGATGGAAGTAAAGCATATAGGGAAAAATAAAAACAAATCTTAAGAAACTTTTGTTTTCATTTTCATAAGCACTAGCCCCTTGGCACATGCCCACGCATGTGCCAATTGGTTTATTTTATTTTATTTATTTATAGAATTAAGAAAAAATAACATGGGCAGTTATCTATATATATAAAGCAAAAGGCAGAGAATGGTGAAACATTCAAAATACCAAAAAATGTCATTGGTTAATTCAAACATTAAGATTGAAATTATTAATTAAATGAGGATAACATGGTAAATTCACATTTTTCATATTAAAAAAATTAAAATTAAAAACAAAATTAGATAATAGGTCATACTTTTATGGAACATAACTACCCATGTTATCTTTTCTTAATTCTAAAAAAAAAGAAAACCAATGCATGTGCCAAGGGGCTAGTGTTCCATAAAAAGAGGACCTATTATATGATTTTGTTTTTAATTTTAATTTTTTTAATATGAAAAAAATGTGAAGTTACTATATTTTGAATGTTTCATCATTCTCTGCCTTGTTTTCTATATAATATGAGCTTTTGGGTTATAAGATTTTGGACAAATGAAAACAATATTTTCTTTAATTTGGTTCTTTGGTATTTGGGTTGTCAGATTTTGGGGGCTTGTATTTTCTCCCCAGCCGTTGAGATCACTTAAATGGCTGAGATGGAGCCTCAAATAATTCCCACCTTAGCTGCGCGCTAAATTCAAAATCTTCAAACTGGGTTGGACCTAAATTATAGTTGGGCGTGAACTTTTTGTCCAATTCCACTGAGTGGGCCTAATCTAAAAGCCTTGGCCCACCCATTTCCACATGGACTACCCAAATCCAGTAAATTGAACCGGGTTTTCAATTTCTTGAGCGAAAGGAAAAGGAAAATAAAAAAGATCCAACAGCCTATGATCGAACAGCGCTCGCTCTCCTCTATATCGCTCTTCAGACTCAAGTCGGCTGCGAGAGAGATCCCTCTCTGTATTCTTCACTTTTAGTTTCTTGAGGTTCGTGTCTCTATCCTCCTGCTCTTGCTTTAAGCTTTTGTACCTGTTTAAATGTTTGTGGCGAAATTAATAGGTGTTGCTTTCCATAATTGTTACCTCAACATTTAGAGAACAAAAACGAGTGTGAGTTTCCACTCTCTATCTGATTTCCACAACCCAGATTTTGTTTCATTACTTTGTTTTTGAATTTGTGATTTTTTGAGCAGTTAATGGAGTCGAACCAAGCCAAACCCGGCCTACTGTGCAACCCTGAAGCTTCTCAGAGAACCTTGTATTCTATTCTCACACTTTCTCGCTTTTCTCATTTTTATTGTTGAATTTATGTTGCGTATTTTTGGTATGTGTAGACCTTATGGTATTTGGGGTTTTGGGGATTTTGCTTTCTATATGACATTTCAATCCTTTAATTCTTTTTTTTAAAATATAATTTTTTGAAGGTACCCATATGTAACCGGTACATCTGTGGTGGCTCTGAAGTACAAAGATGGAATTTTGATGGCTGCTGATATGGGAGGTTAGATGCCAATCCAATTTAGATTGTGTTTCAAATTTTAATTATTTTTTGACATAAAGGTTAAAGTCCATCGCTTTATGAACAATGCTCATCATCTCTTCTTTCGGAGTTTCAATGCTGTTTAAGTTGCAAAAGTTAGACTGTATTTTCCTTTTCTTGTTTCTGTTTAGGTTTGTAACAATATCAAATGATGCATTTACTAATAGGTTCTTATGGGTCTACCCTGCGATACAAGAGTGTGGAACGAATGAAGCCTATTGGAAAGCATTCTCTTCTTGGTGCAAGTGGAGAAATAAGTGACTTTCAAGAGCTATTACGTTATCTTGATGAGCTCATGTAAGCATTGTTCTCAAGAAAAATTATGTAGAAGATACCTTCTCTAATGCTTTCATTGTGATTTTTGCCATGCTTCTTGGTATCATTTGCAACTGGAGTTAAAAAGATTATTCATTTTGAGTTTTATGGTTGTAGCCTATATGACAACATGTGGGATGATGGCAACTCTTTGGGACCTAAAGAGGTCCACAACTATTTGACCCGTGTGATGTACAATAGGCGTAACAAGTTCAATCCACTGTGGAACTCTCTTGTCCTTGGTGGAGTGAAAAAAGGGCAGAAGTACCTTGGCATGGTAGGCCTCATATAATCCTTCCCTTAACGCATTGTAGCATGCTGTGTTCAATTAGGAAAGCTGATTATTTATTTATTTATTCAAGAATAAAGTTTATGAATGAGCTGACTTAGTTACTTGTCATATTCTTTTATCCCTATCCAGGTTAGCATGATAGGTGTAAATTTTGAGGACAATCATGTAGCTACAGGATTTGGAAATCACCTTGCACGGCCTATTCTTCGTGATGAATGGCATGAGAACTTGACTTTTGAAGAGGGTGTAAAGCTACTGGAGAAATGCATGCGTGTCCTTCTCTATCGTGATCGGTCTGCTGTCAACAAGCTTCAGGTATAGTAATTAATTAATCTTATTTACTCTATCTTCTGTCATCCTATAGTAATAACAGTGCTTTAAGCTATCAATTCCATAATAGTAAGGCTTGTAAGAAATGATGATTTGACTAGCAATTACTGAGGGCCTTCTTATCTATCTGTCTTTTTATTTTTTATTTTTTTATCTGCCATATAATTCACCAATCTGTTATCTTTAATCGTCTTCAACATTTATAAACCTTTTTAAATATGAAACCTGGTAAACCTTTTTAAATATATTTGAAGTGTTTTGTTTGTAACGTCTCTCTCTCTCTCTCTCTCTCTCTCTCTCTCTCTCTCTCATACACATGTTCAAATGGGTTTTCACTAAACTTTTGTCACTCTTGATCTTACTAGTTTGTCATGTAAGAAACTCTCATGAGCCTGATAAGTATTGTAATTCCCTTTCACTGGTGAAGTGCTAGTACTGGACTATTAATTGGGCTTTAGCTCCGGAAAGTGGTTAAAGTGGAGACGGAGGAAAGGAAAGGAAAAGTATTATGCTAATGAACATGATTGCATGGTTTTGATTTCAATTTTCTGTCGGAATATTTTCCTATTTCTACCCAACAAGTTTTCTAACATCTTTTCTGTATATATTTTATGCAAATCAGAAATCTCATTGTACAATGAGTTGCTTGGTAGAATTTACTCATCGTTTCTATTGGTCATACTTATAAAAGGAAGGATTTAGGTGATGATGGGTCATTTAAGTGGGAAATTGTTTTCAATCTTTGGATGTGCTTAATGCTAGATATTGTCTGGTTATGAACATCACATGATTTTAAACACCACCTTCGTCTCTGAAGAGGTGCTGAAGGTTTGTGGCATATGTTTGTGGATTTAGTTTGGTGTGAAACAATTTCCTCCGTTTTGCCTCCTTTGCTAGTAAAGTGAAAACACTTATTTCTAGAAAGTTCTGTTACTAAAGTGATATTGCACATTTGCACACATCAGATAACTGCAATGAGATATTATTTTTGTTTTTAAAAGTGAAACTAATAGTTTGGAATTGGCATAGTAGTTGCAAGGCCAAAAAGGAAAATCCAACAATCAGTGTTAAGGATCTTGATAATTTTGTGCACTGTAAGGGTGGAGTGTATTGTTTTGCTTGAACATGGATTGGCACTTCCTTGTAAGATGACACACTTTAAACTTTGAAATTGCAGATTTCCAAAATCACTGAAGAAGGTGTAACCATCTCTCAGCCCTACTCTTTGAAGACTTTCTGGGGTTTCTCTGCTTTCGAAAATCCAACATTGGGTGCTGAAGGATCATGGTAGTTGAATAGAGGCATGGCTACTGAACATGAAACAGCCAACTAGGAGCTAAGTTGAACTTTAATGTGTTTCTACAGTTATTGGAACCAAGAATTTGTAACAGTGTTGACTCGAATATAGCTGGTTGGCTTTTGAGAAACATTTTAGCTATAATACCCATCGTTTTCTTAAATTTGGTGTTGCAGCATCGAACGAGTATGAACTTATTGTAGTGACACTTAAAGCAATGTCTATTTTCCTTTGAATCATTTGGCCAGTATGTGGTTTGAAGATCATATAATCGGTTGCGGAATACATACATGCATACATTTATATATATATATGCAATAATAAGAATAGGAATTCTATCTGGCTTCTGATTTTCTTTGTTTTCATACAAAATAGAGTGGTCTTTTTCTAGAATTTTTGGGATACTGGGGACAGTAGGAGGATATCATGGATTGTTGTAAAGCAGGAGAAATGAGTTCTTGTTTGTTCTACACGGTTATTGAGCTAGGAGGGGATGGTTTTAATCAGTCTTAGTTTGACAATTGGAAAGTTTCTTTAGATTATAAAACATTTTTGGATCCGTCAGATGTGAAATGTATGATCTATATTCTTTGTGATGAGACAATTATATTTATGCTCTCCGGATGGAAGGCAAACTGTCGGAAGCTTGAAACACTTGACCAAAAATGTTAACGTCCTGGGTTATTGTTGCGAAGAAAATTAGCGTTTTACAAGAATAGATTATTGCTTCAACATCTTAACGCTAACAGTATCATTTTGATGGATAATGTTTACTTATAAAACACTGTCGATTGAACATACTTTGAGTTATTTACACTAACACTTCATGAGGTTTTCGGTTTTTTCACAAAACTCATTGAGGTTTTTGAAATTACAAGAACACCCTTTGAGGTTTTAAATTATTTTCACAAAACTCCTTTTCATTCCAAAGATTGATGATCTTATATAAAAAAATTCTCCAAATGACAAAGTTGGCTTTTGAGATTAGATTGCATATATTTCATTGAGGTTAATTTTGTCATTTATATAAGTTTTTTTTTATATATAAATGAAATCATTAAACGAAAAAGAATTTGTGAAAACAAACAGACGTGTTTTTCTTCTTTTTTTCTCTTTTTCTTTTGTGACTGGGCATTGTGCTCGTCTCTTCCCTCTCCTTTCATGCCTCTTTCCCCCATGCTTCCTTGCATTTTCCTGACCTTCAATCTTAGCCGTCCAGTAGATCGTGTAGCCAATAAGATATTATATTTTCACTGTTCTCCCCACAAGGGAACTTTTGCTTATGTTGACTGAAAGGTTTGAGGACCTTGACTATACGTATTTCGAATTTATTCATCTGCGCTGCAACACACAAACCAGTGACCACTGCCCAGAAAAAATAATTGATTATGAAATAACTTGTGCATAATTTGTTGCTGGTCTGATCTGAACCGGTAGCTCCTCCAGTATCAATTAATGGATGCCAGGAAAGCCCATAAAGCATCCTCTTCATCCTCACCATCCAGCTCCTCATCAAAACGTTGGATGTACGACGTGTTCTTGAGCTTCAGAGGTGAAGACACACGCAAGGGCTTCACAGGCCACCTCCACGCCGCATTATCTGGGGCCGGAATCAGCTCCTTTCTTGACGACAACGAGCTAGTAAGAGCGGAATTTATAAAAACCCAACTGGAGCAGGCAATCGACAAGTCCATGATCTCCATAATTGTCTTCTCTAAGAGTTATGCCGATTCCAGTTGGTGTCTTGACGAGCTGGTGAAGATCATGGAGTGTAGAGAAAGATTGAGGCAACAGGTTATTCCATTGTTCTATAATGTTGATGCTTCAGATGTCCGGAAACAAACTGGTAGTTTTGCACAAGCATTTGAGAAACATGAAGCGGGCATCTGCGAAGGTAAACATGAGAAAGAAAAGGTACAGCGGTGGAGGAATGCTCTCACTCAAGCTGCAGATTTGTGTGGGGAAGATCTTAAAAATGCTGATAATGGGTAATTACTAATTGACAACCATATGTTTTCTGTCCTTTTTGTTTTTGTTTTTGTTTTTCCAACTATGTTTTTTACTATCCATTCTTTCTTACTTGATAATGTAAGATCCATTTAACATTTGATGTTAAATCCCAATCTTAATTGTTAATTATATCTTAATTCTAAATTATTAAGTTAGGGATTCAATTTAACCTTGTAGTTTGTTCTGCTTCTGTGTTTAATTGCCAGGCATGAAGCAAAGTTTATCCAGAAAATTATTGGGGAGGTTAATAAGCAGTTGTACAGCAAATACCAATTAGACATCGAACACCTTGTTGGAATTACTTCTCGGCTGAACGATGTTGTTCGCATGATTGATATTGAAGATTCAGGCTCTAAGGATGTTGTTCGCATGATTGGTATTTTGGGGATGGGCGGCATTGGGAAAACAACGCTTGCCAAAACCATTTATAACAAATTTGAACGCATCTTTGAAGGTAGGAGTTTCCTTGCAAACGTGAGGGAAGTATTTGCAAACCAACGCAGTAATGGTCTGGTTGGTTTGCAAGAACAACTTCTAAATGATATCTTGAAAAGCAAGGACCCCATAAAGGTTGGCTCTGTTGCTAAAGGGATCGATATGATAAGAGCAAGACTGCGCTGTATAAGAGCACTTGTCATAATTGACGATGCAGATGATCTACAGCAACTAAAAGCAATAGCCAGAGCTCGTGATTGGTTTGGTCCTGGAAGTAGAATTGTTATAACAACAAGAAATCAACATTTGCTAGACCAAGTTGGAGTGGATAGCACATATATGGCTCAAGCAATGGATGAAAAAGAAGCTCTAGAGCTCTTTAGTAGGCATGCCTTCGAAAGTGGTTATCCTAATCAAGAATATATTGACCTCTCAAAACGTGTAATTCATTATTGTCGAGGCTTGCCACTAGCACTTGAAGTTGTAGGGTCTTTTCTGATTAAAAGATCCACAGTGGAGTGGAAAAATCACTTGGAGAAATTGAAAAGAAGTCCTGATGGAGAAATTCAAAAAATACTCAGAATAAGCTTTGACAGGCTACCTGATGATACAACGAGAAAGATATTCCTTGATATATCTTGTTTCTTTATTGAAAAGGACAAGGACTATGTCACACAAATATTAGATGGATGTGGCTTTTTTGCAACAATTGGAATCAGTGTCCTCATTGAACGGTGCCTTGTAACTGTTAGTGAGTATAACAAGCTGAGGATGCATGATTTGCTTCGAGACATGGGAAGAGAGATCGTTTGTGAAAGTGCCCACGGTGACCCAGAAAAACTTAGTAGATTGTGGAAACGTGAAGACGTAACAAATGTATTGTGCGATGAATCTGTAAGTACTTTCCCAGTAATAAATTTTTAGAATGCATCATGCAAGAGAAGCATATGTATCTTGTGTCTATAATAAACTATAGGATGTAACATGGTCCAATACTATTAATTATACCTTTTGGTTAATACATACGCGGATTTTTCATGTTTGTAAATCATTTTTCTAACTCGGTATCTTTTGTTAACAGGGAACTGAAAAAATTGAAGGAGTTGCTCTACATTTGGATTTGGATGTAGATTCGGATCTAGATTCAGATGTAGATTGGGTTCTAGATTCAGATCTAGATTTGAACAGATTCAGTGCACAAGCATTTACCAACATGAAAAAACTGAGGTTACTCCACCTCAGCAACGTAGAGTACAAAGATTTTCCCAAAAAGTTAATATGGTTTAGCTGGCATTATTTTCCTTTAGAGTCCATACCAGATGACTTTCCTATGCAACCAAAACTAGTTGCTTTAGACCTGCAGTATAGCAAACTCAAAATAGTTTGGAAGGATTGCAAGGTATAATAATCTCAACCTAGTTATTGTTGGTTCTTTCCTTCTGGTTCTATACATATATTGTACCTCACCTTCTCTTCATTTTGGTTTAATTTCTGTATCAGAGACCTTCCTTTTGGATTTTAATTTCCATTCTAATTCTGTTTTTGTGTAACAGTTGCATCAGAATTTGAAAATCCTTAATCTCAGAGGTTCCTGTCAGCTAACAAAATCACCAGACTTTTCAAAACTCCCAAATCTCGAGGAATTGATATTGGAATACTGTGAGAGTTTGTCTGAGGTTCACTCATCCATCGGGGATCTAGGAAGACTTTCTTTGGTAAATCTTGAAGGCTGCATGAGGCTAAGGGATCTCCCACTGAATTTCTATAAATCCAAGTCTATTGAAACTCTTCTACTTAATCGTTGTTCACGTTTTGAAAAGTTGGCTGAGGGCTTAGGGGAAATGGTATCATTGACAACTCTGAAAGCAGATTACACAGCCATCAGACAAATACCATCTTCCATATTAAAATTGAAGAAACTGAAAGTTTTATCTATATGTAAAGTGAAAGGGTCGCCATCAACAAATCTTTTGCCTCCTTCGTTGCAAAGTTTAAGCTCTTTAAGACAATTAGCTCTTGCAGACTGTAGTTTAACTGATGATGCATTCCCCAAGGATATCGGTGGCCTAATTTCCTTAGAAAGATTAGATCTTGCAAGCAATGACTTTTGTAGCCTCCCAAGCCTCAGTCGTCTTTCACAGCTTCAAGATTTGTCTTTATATGAGTGCAAAAATCTTCGTGCGATCCCAGATTTACCAACAAATTTGAAAGTCTTACGAGCAGATGGCTGCATTGCATTGGAAAAAATGCCAGATTTTTCAGAAATGGCAAATATAAGAGAATTGTATCTATGTGATTCGGGCAAACTCACTGAGATTCCAGGCCTGTATAAGTCATTAAACTCCATGACAAGGATTCATATGGAAAAGTGCACTAATCTTACTGCCGATTTCAGGAAGAACATCCTACAGGTCAATCCTTCTGTCTCTCTCTCTCTCACACACACACACACACACATATACATCTTTCTCTTTCTACCACATACAATAAGAATGTATTTCTTATAGAAATTTGGCTCTACATGGTATAGGGATGGACTTCTTGCGGATATGGTGGCATTTTTCTCAGTGGAAATGACATTCCTGATTGGTTCCACTATGTCCATGACTATGATATTGTGTATTTCACTGTGCCTCAAAGTGTTGGTCCTATTTTGAAAGGGTTAACTTTGTCCTTGGTTCTCTCTTCAGGCTTCTACGGTTGTCGTATTAGCATTAAAAACATGACCAAGGGTACTGAGCTTGACGCCAGGATCATACCCGATTGTCGAACTAGGGGTTATTATCTTTGGCAGGGACAGTTATCAAATGACGAGCTCAAATTGCAAGACGGTGATAAAGTCTGGATTGAAATAATAAACAAATATGATTGGCCTAAGGATGAGGTGATGAAAACAGGTGTTAGTCTGGTATGGGACAAAATTATGAACGAAAATATGATTGATTACTATCTTTGTGCGTATGAACGACGCCCATCTCAAAATCTGGTCAATGATGATGACATCATTCATGTCGAATGTGATAATCACATAACAAAATCACCAGACTTTTCATATTTCCCAAATCTTGAGAAGTTGATATTGAAAGGTTGTAAGCGCTTGTATAAGGTTCACTCATCCATTGGGGATCTTGGAAGACTTTCTTTGGTAAATCTTGAAGGCTGCATAAGTCTAAGGGATCTCCCACTGAATTTCTATAAATCCAAGTCTATTGAAACTCTTCTACTTAATAAATCAAGTTTTGAAGACTTGGCTGATGGCTTAGGGGACATGGTATCATTGACAATTTTGGAAGCAGATGAGACGCGCATCAGACAAATTCCATCTTCCATAGTAAAATTGAAGAAGTTGAGAATTTTATCTCTATCTGGTGAGAATTTTGAAATTCCATCTTTTACCCCTTTCGTTACATGGCTTAAACTCTTTAATAGAGTTATATTATGTCTTGCAGGCTGTAGGTTAACTGAGGATGCAATCCCTAAGGATCTATGTAGCCTAATTTCCTTAGAAGATCTGCTTCTTCGAGACAATGACTTTAGTAGGCTACCAAGTCTCGCTGGTCTTTCAAAGCTCAAAGTCTTGTGTGTAAATGCATGCAGAAAACTTCTTGCAATCCCAGATTTACCAACCAATTTGTATGTTCTGAAAGCAAATGACTGCCCAGAATTGGAAACAATTCCAGATTTTTCAAAAATGTGGAATATGAGAGAATTGTATCTAAGTGAATCGTTCAAAGTCACTGAGGTTCCAGGCTTGGATAAGTCATTAAACTCCATGACAAGGATTCATATGGAAGGCTGCACCAATCTGACTGCCGATTTTAGGAACAACATCCTACAGGTCTATCTCTCACTCTCTCTCTCTCTCTCTCTCTCACACACACACACAATCTGACTACCCATGTAATGGTATGTGCATGCATCTATAAGAATGTATTGCTTCTGGTGTGCAGAGATGGACTTCTTGCGGATTTGGTGGAATTTATTTGAATGGAATTTATGATATTCCTGAGTGGTTCAAAATCGTCAATGATGTGGGCAATATCGTCTTCTTTGAAGTTCCTCAAAAAATCATGGGTCGTGATTTAAAAGGTTTAACTATATGCTTCGTTTACTCTTCAGACAAACATTATCAAGGTCCTATTGCCATTATCGTTAGAAATCTTAACAAACAAACTGCTTTGCACACCTGGATATCATTTGCCTCGGTAAAAACTTACGATACATCTGAAGACGATTATCTTTGGCGGGGACAATTGTCAAACGATGTGCTCCGTTTGCAAGGCGGGGACCGAGTCTCCATTCTTGTAAGGCCTGATGATGTTTTTGTGAGAGTGAAGAAGACGGGGGTTCATCTAGAATGGGACAAAGTCATGAAGGAAAATATGGATAATCCGGATCCTCATTTATATGATTTGGAAACAAATCGGGATTTTTTCAGGGGAGTTGATGACTCGTTGGATCCTCATTTGTATGATTTGGAAACAAATCGGGATGTTTTGGCGGTGGAACCATATCTTGATTTTTTGGGGGGAACTGATGATGAGGCAAGACCAAGCCATGACGCATCTGTTCCCGGTGATCAACTGAGTGCTATAGATGAAGAATCAGCAGTGGAAGACGATCTACGTACTCGTTTGTCATTGTCTATAATGGAATATTTGGATTTTTCTGGAGAAGCTGATGATGGGGCAAGACGGAGCCATGGCGCATTTGTCTGCACTAATCAATCGAGTGCTGTAGATAAACAATTAGAATGGGACAAAGTCATGAATCCGGATCCTCATTTGTATGATTTGGAAACAAATCGGGATTTTTGAGGGAGAGTTGATGACTCCATTTCAAGAAATTGTTGTCACTGAGACGAATGGTAACCATACTGAGCAAGCCATCAATCTTGATGGAGGAAGAAGAAGCCACGATGAAGCAGAGAGAAATTGCAATCTTGATTTCTGTATTTCTTGATCTTTTAAGCTACAGCATTTTTACACTTTATACAGCTGTTTAACTCACCACTAACAACTCACGTGCCTTGAACACCTAACTCTTTACAAGGCCGAATAATACATGAGCTTCACATTTAAGCCCAAACATAGATCCCAAAATATAGAAAAATCCTGTGCAATCCAAATTCTATAAAATAGCCCAGTTGGACTATTCAATGTACTTACCAATACAAACAACCCTTGAAAATTATACAATTTAAAAAATTGCCACTGCAATAATATTACTAGATACCCAAACACAAAGCCCACTCTGTTACAAAAATGCCCATTACAAAACCGACAAAAAAACTTGATATCTTATGCTTTTGGCCCTTGATTAGGAGTGCTTCTATAGTGAGTGGAAAGTTATAAGGGGTTTTTTTGAGGGGTATGTAAGAGCCGTTGGATTTCATCCAACGGTGAGTTTTTAAAAGAGGGTGCATGTAGAACCGGGTTGAAATCTGACCCGTTTGGAAACCTAACTTTAGCTGAAGATTTTTCCCTCTCTGTGAAAAACTCAAGAACACAATCCTCTTTTTTTTAATGTAATGCAAATCCACAATTAGAAAGATCCAAAGCTCCCAAACTCTATAATCGCTCTATTGTCATCAACTCCTTGGGAGGCCTGCGATCTATGGTATCCTCGGTATGACAATTAATGGCTTTTACCTAGCTATTGCCCTGTTTTGATTCTATGATTCAAGTGAAAACCCCTTCTCTTTTTCGTTCAGCAGAAGAGAGTCCAGATGAAAGCAAAGTAGCATATATCTTTTTTGTGCTGTTGCAGTTGTTCCTCGATTTTGGTAGAGATGGAGTCTCCACTACGAAAGAATCCTCTCTAATGTCCTCCACATTCTCTCAAGCTGACTGACTTCGGAGCTCCCGATTGACTTTGAGAGGTAAGTTCACTCTTGCTGGATTGATTTTGTTGGGTTTGATTTGTTTTTTGTGAGGGTGAGAAATTTGTCATTTGTGGCATCAATAATGCGTCATTTGCTCTGCTATCAATAATGCGTCATTTCCTTATGAATATTCAATATACTTAGTTGATTATTTTTTTTTGGAGGGGGTTTGGAAAATTATGAAATGTAGGTAAAAGATCCTAAACTTAGGCTTAATGGCATTAGGAGTAAGCATTTGGAGAGGATATTGGGTGAAGTTCTGTAATTGCTGGTTTGAATTACATTTGAGTTCTTAGTTGAACATGTTGGTTCTAATGTTATTTTTTCCAGATTATTTCACAAGAGATGACGTAACTATTATTAAATTTTGCTTGTGTTTTGTGTAATCAGAATCCAACAAGCTAGGCTATGCGTGTATTGTGTCAATTTGGGCAATGTTTTGTGTAAGTGGAATGCATTGATAAGTTGTGATGCAGTAATGATTGATTAATGAATTAACATTTGCTATGCAGTAATATAGAAGTAGATCAATAATATACGTGGATAAAATGTCTGGGGGCTCAAAGAGTGATGACTCTGTAACAGCTAATGGGAGGGTTTACATTCCTGAAGTAAGAAATGAGGAAACACCAGCAGTTGGGATGAAGTTCGACTCGCTTGACCTCGTTTATAATTTCTATAATAGATATGCATTCTTGGCTGGCTTTGGTATTCGACTTCATTCCAGCTTTTGGGGGGAAAAATAAGAAAGAGATTATGAGAAAAGAATTTGTATGTTGCAAACAAGGTGCATACCGGAATGATGAAACTCGGGAGAGAAAAAGACAGCGGGGAATAAGTAGATGCAATTGCAAAGCTAAGATTGTGGTTGTGAAGACACATGGGAGCAAGAAGTATACCATCTCTCTTTTTGCAGAGGGACACAATCATAAGATGACACCCTCAGGAAGAATGCATTTACTGAGATCACACCGTCGTATTTCAGATTCTACAAAAGTACTCACAAAACAGTTGGGTTCGGTTAATATTCCCATTAATCAGAAGGTAAGTATTTTCAAGGTGCAATCCGGAGGAATGGATAAAATCGGTTTTATCAAAAAGGATATCTACAATATTGAATGTAGTGTGAATGGGAAGCTGAGGAACCACGATGTTGAACTAGTGATCGAGAATTTTATGGCTAAACAGAAAAAAATGAGGCTTTTTATTTCAAGATTGAGGGAGATGGCGATAACAGGTTTAGTTGATGTTTTTGGGCAGATGCAACTTCTAAACAGGCGTACGGGTTTTATGGGGATGTTGTTGTATTCGATACCACATTCAACACGAATAGATACGACTTGACATTTGCACCAATGTTGGGAGTTAATAACCATGGTCAAACAATTGTCCTAGCATGCACATTTTTGAGCAAGGAAACGACTGAGCCGTTTATTTGGATGTTTGAGGAGTTTAAGAAAGCCATGCCAGGTGGCGAACCTAAAACGATCATTACAGATCAAGATGCGGCAATGAGCAGAGCGATTTCAATAGCCTTCCCGACTACATTTCATCGACTTTGCATATGGCACATCACATCAAAGTTCTCTACTAAGTTACCACATTCTGCTTATAAGGAGTATTGGCGTGAATTCTAGAAAGCCATATGGGATACTGATAATAAGGATGAGTTTGATGCAAAATGGAATATTGTGGTTACAAAGGCTGGTTTGACTGACCATCCATGGCTAAGTTCAATGTTTGATTTAAAGGAATCTTGGGTTCCAGCCTACGCAAGACACTTTTTTGCCGCTGGAATGTCAAGCAGCCAAAGAGCGGAATGTTCTCATGGTTTCTTCAAGCAATACATATCAAGGAGAAATTCGTTGATGGATTTCATAATAAGATTTGAGAGGGCACTTTCTCATCAACGTCAAAAAGAGTTAGTTGCTGATCACGTAGATGCATTTGAAGCGGCTCAATGTATTCTATCGACGCCAATGAACAAACAAATGGCTACCTTGTACACAAGGACAATGTTTCAAAAGTTTGAGCAAGAACTAATACAAAGTACATCATGTTTTCTAGAGCTGAAAACAGAGGATGCTTCTAAAGTTGTCTTTAATGTGAGTGAAAGGAAAAATTGGGAAACAAGAGTGGCAGAAGTCGTATATGTCAAAGATTCTGACCACGCATCGTGTAGCTGCAAAAGATTTGAATTTGTTGGAATTATTTGCAAGCACATCCTAGCATTGTTCAGAAGGGACCAGATTGAATATAAGCCCGATAAATACATTTTGAAAAGGTGGAAGAAAATTGCGAAATCTAGATTGGTGTCAGATGCAAATGGCAACGAAATTAAAGACTCTGCAGATCCTTGTCTTTTAATAAAGCGGAGTACAATGTCCCGACTTGCTTCAGATGTGGTTGAGGATGCATTAATGTGTGAAGAAGGATGTGAGCTACTGTCAGAGACTCTAAAAAGTTTGCGGGTGAAGTTGAAGTTGTTGAAGATGGACCAAGTAATAACGAAGTTGGAGGGTCCAGCTCTCAAACACAATATATGAAAGACCCTGTTGAAACGAGTAACGGGAGCAAAGGAAAAGGCAATGAAGCGAGGGATTAGACACTGTCGGGAGTGTGGACACATTGGTCATGATAGAAGACAATGCCCAAGAAATTTGAACACACCGTAAGATGTTAACACTATTTATAATAAGACCTAAAATTTGAATAGGTAAAGTTCTTATGTGCTTCTGTTTGATGTTTATGCAGGACATCACCGTCGAACAATGACGAATCAACTCCAATAGATCTTAGTGACCCATTATTCGACGAATTTTACAGGATGCACGGACCAACTCAATGATTTAGGTTTCTATTATACGAAGCCCGGTTATTATGAAGACTAATGATCAGGTAAAGTTTTCTAGATGCAGTTTTATTATTATTATTATTTTGTTCATGTCCACCGATGAGCTCTTACTATGTCCATTGATAATTGAAATGAAAATTTGCTTGGTTTCATTATTGCTTGAAATTTGGACACATGTTAATTTTATGTCTTCTCTCTATTTAGAAATTTTCATAGACATTAGATAAAGCATCAAATTTTGATTTATGTGAAGAAGCAATGACTTTTACCTTGTAAAATGGGTAGTTTATGGTGAATTATGTTTTAACAGAGATTCATTGATTATATGACAGGCTAATGCAGCATTTCTAGCAGCTAGTTGTTGTTTCCATTACTAGTAATGATTTCCAGCAGCACACATCATTTCTAGAAGCACCCACTTTTTGCGAATGTTATGTTCTAGTGTTTTACTGGTGATTAAGATCTGAGCTCGACTGGTTATTAGGTGCACGATTTTGCAAACATTCGTAACTGAAGGATACTTGAAGCACTTTGTTGGAACAGAAAGATTAGAAAGCAACGTGTAAAAAAGTACATTGCAGCTAATCACATTTCGAATGGTTGGATAATATTAAAGGGTACACTAACATTTGAACTACTCATAATTCCACACACAAAAGAAAATTTGATTGCAAAGCATTTTATGTGCTCCCTCTTAGCAATACCACGATCTCCCCAATCAACTGAACAACGGTAGCCACAATCACTAGGTCGTATTGGTCAGCTTCTTCTTAGCAGGTCTCACGTGCTTATGGTCACTCATGTCCCCAGTGATATAGACAAAATAAATATTCAGCAATATTTGGAATTTTATTTTATATACATAAACCATAAACCATTCACTAAACAATGTATAGCACATGGTATTTTACTTATGACTCACGTGTCATGATAATGGGGCTTTACTGATTCCCAACGTGCTGTGATATTGACTGCTTATTGAATAATATTTCCATATTTGCAAAATATAATGTTAGACAGAAGGAACATATGATGACTTGCAAGACATAGTCCCAATAATTATATATGAAGCAAATGAAACTGATATTTGTATTATTTTATATTAGATAATGACATTAAGGGAATATAGTTCTAATTTGTGCAATACCACGATCACCCCCAACCAACAGAACAGCTGTAGCCGCAATCACTTAGTCGTATCGGTCGGCTTCTTCCGAGCAGCTTTGACGTGCTTATGCTCATTCATGTCGCCACCATCGTCTAGTATCTCTCTCACAGCATCAGGGGACACATAGTCTCAATTATAACTTGTATGAGTAGTTGTCGCGAATGCTCGAAATTTTTCGAATCCTTCGTTGAATGCCAACTCCAGTTCATTGTGGTGCCCTTCGCATCGCATATGGTTCATCAAACAACCTTTAATTTCATCATTCATTACTGCATCCAACTCCTCAGCTTTCAGCTTCCTTTTATGACTCAACTTCAAGTACTTGTTCTTTTGGGAGAACGCTTTGTTCACTCTAATGTTAAGATCAACCAAAATGGCCTCGTCTTCAACACATTTCTCGTGCCATGAATTGATCAGTCTGGAATTATAATCCAGCTTGGTACTGACTGCATCTATTGCCTCTAATGGATCATCGGAGTCCCCCTCACTCCCAAATGATGTTGAAAATGGAAGGGGTCGGCGAGTACAACGTGGAAACGGAACCTGCGACTCCAATTTTTCATCTTCGATTGTGTTGTTGGCGCCTGAAGAGGTTGACATGCTTGAATAATCCTATTTGTTTTAGAGGATGAGGATTGCATATGCAATTTCGTTTGAGAAATGGAACATAGCTTTATAGACCAACATACCAAAGCTTGCGTGTAGTCAACATATGTACTTTATTTCAATTTTAAAAAAAGAGGTGTCAGGTTTTGCTTTTCAAGCATGTCAACCTCACACTCTCCTTACACCATTGTTAGTGGTTGAAAGAAACTCAATGGAAGTGACATCTAGTTAGTGAACCCAACCAAACTAACCAAACTAGTTAGGATTAAACTTAGATTGTATGAGACCTTTTTTCATTTATACATTGTCAACCAAATGTTATTTTTGGCGGGAACCCTTTTTTATTGGTATTACTATCACCCCCTTCATAGAAATTCTCCCTCCACAAAAAACTCACTCCTCCACCGAATCTGTCTCCATCTACTGAAACTCTCTCCTCCACAGAAACTCTCTCCCCCCATTGAATGGATTTGCTAACCAAGTTTGATGTGAGCATAATAAACACCCCTCCAAACAAAGATCGCCTTCGAAACGCAAGTGAGTCACCAGACAAGCAATGTCACATTCCTAGACAGAATGACCATTTTGTTGGAAGTTTTGAGTCTGAAAGAGTTCTTGCTTTCTGGAAGGAGAGGCATCTTCAACTTGGTGATGAAATCCAAAGGGCAAGGGCACGTTTGGAATTTGTTGAAGGCCAAATTCAAGATGACAAAAGGCAGGCCAATCTGGATAGGGCAAAATTGCAGCGCATGAAGCGTAGACACAAACGACTTCGGAGTGTAGCTGTTCAAAAATACAAGAACACATCTAATGCAATGGAGTCAAAGAAGTGTGTGATGCAAGCTGGATTCGACTATTTCCGGTCTTATGCAAAACTCGTCGTACCCGGGTTTGATTGGTCATCTATTACCGTTTCCGACGTTAACAAATATACTCAGCAAGGGAAGTAACCATTTTGGTTATCGTGTTTGAGTAGAGGCAAATCAAAGGAACTGGAATTTTCGTTAAACTCTGCTTCAAACCTATTTTGATGCTTACTACTATAGAATATTTCAACCTTAATATTTGATGTCTTTAATTACGATAACACGATGCAAAGTGCCCATCTACTTCAGTCATATGTTGCTGCCATGTCCATTTTTTGTGATCACGTATCAGATTTGGACATGGTTGCATCATATGCAATGTTGCCTTTATGTATTATATGTTAGGGTAAGGTTTATGGAAAAGCATGTGTGAGTGGTTTTGTGACAAGGTTATGGCATTATTTTGTACCAGTTATATATTGTTTTTTGTACTGGTTCATCTCCTACTATTGCTTTATTTCTTTATATTATATGTTTATGCGATTGGACATGATAGAAAATATATTACTGATTCCCAATACGGCGTCATAAGGACAACTTATTGAATACCGCCGATGTGTTGAAAACTCTAGGTGCAGGTGCATATGGACAACTTATTGAATATCTCTGACGTCTTCAAAGATCTAGGCGCATGCGCAGTTCCAATGATGGCTTCGAAGTAGTGGTGCATTTATTATATATGTACATTATTATAACCAAAACAGATAATTTTACATCCTTATATATGAAAGGAAACTAATTCTTGTATCAGTACAAATTATATAACGAATATTAAGGAAATATACTTGTTAAAGTGACAAACATATATACTTAGGGTTAAGAGGAAAGTGAGTTATGTAAACAATTTTTGAATTTTTAATTGCGAAATGGATGATTTATGGGTTCCCATAGTTTTATAACGTCATAAGGAGGCCGGAGTATTTGTCGGGGCATTTTAGGATTTTTCTACTATTTATTGCATTTTTTTAAAGATTTTTGCACTAAAAAAGCCAAAATAATTGCCAAATGGACACCTGGCGCGATCTCAGCCCCTCACCTTTCACCCCTTGACAAGTATGCGTTAGTCAACATGGCCACATCCTTACCTTTTACCATAAATTATTATTTTATGATTTTTTCTTAGAAAATTCATAACTAAATACACAAAAATCAGAAAAATGATCCGAAAATTGCTACGAACTCATTGAGACTCCATCTCCCTTGCTGAATTCCCCGATTCGTGGTTACGCATTTTAAAAAACAATTCTGAACATTAACGGGAGATGCTTGTTGAAGTAGGTTATTGAAGTTAAAGTTAACAAACATATATACTTAGGGTTAAGAGGAAAGTGAGTTATGTAAACCAATTTGGATGTTTTCATTACGAAATGGATGATTTATGGGTTCCCCTCGTTTTATAACGTCACAAGGAGGCCGGAGTATTTTTCGGGGCATTTTTAGGATTTTTCTACTATTTATTGCATTTTTCAAAGATTTTTGCACTAAAAAAGCCAAAATAATTGCCAAATGGACACCTGGCGCGATCTCAGCCCCTCACCTTTCACCCATTGACAAGTGTGCGTCAGTCAACATGGCCACATCCTTACCTTTTACCCTAAATTATTATTTTATAACTTTTTCTTAGAAAATTCATAACTAAATATACAAAAATCAGAAAATGATCCGAAAATTGCTATGAACTCATTGAGACTCCATCTCCCTTGCTAAATTCCCCGATTCGTGGTTACGCATTTTAAAAAATAATTCCGAACATTAACGGGAGATGCTTGTTGAAGTAGGTTATTGAAGTTAAAGTTAACAAACATATATACTTAGGGTTAAGAGAAAGGTGAGTTATGTAAACCAATTTGGATGTTTTCATTACGAAATGGATTTATGGGTTCCCCTCGTTTTATAACGTCACAAGGAGGCCGGAGTATTTGTCGGGGCATTTTTAGGATTTTTCTATTATTTATTACATTTTTTCAAAGATTTTTGCATAAAAAAGCCAAAATAATTGCCAAATGGACACCTGACGCGATCTCAGCCCCTCACCTTTCACCCCTTGACAAG